TACTTCTCGCAGCACCTGCCCCGCTGCCTCGTCATCGAGTAGCGCGGGGCTCCCCGCCCCGGTCGCGGGAACTCGGCCACGCTCTGGGCGGGGCGCGGGGCGCCGCGGAGCCCGCTCCTCGGGCCCCGCTCTGCCCCCGCGGCCCCGGCCCAGCGCGGGAGGCGGGGCGAGCCGAGGAAGCCCCGCCCCGCGCCCCGCCCCGCGCCCTCTGCTTCCCCCGGCCCCGCCCGGACAGGGGGCTGGGGGCAGCCCCACGCACGCACGCACACTCGGGGACCCAGTGCATGCCCCTCGTGCCCGCACTGCACGCCGCCCTCCGCCACGCTACAGCCGCCGCCATCACTCGCCCGCCCGCGGGGGTGGGGCTCGGTTCTTGGGGGCGCCTCGAGCTCTCCAGACAGCCGCCCTTTCCGCCTTCCCCGCCACAGCCCGCTCTGTCTCGCCACTTTCCCCCCATCCCGGGCAGGGCCCAGGGGGATCAAGGGGGGCTGGGTCCCCCCGGACGCAGGGCCCGGAAGAGCCCCAAGGGCTTCCCGCATCCTCCACTGCACCGCGCCTGGAGCCCTCTGAGGGGTGTGAGGGGAACGAGGCCACCGCCAAAGCCATGGCCCGCCGAGGAGCCCAGGTCCCACCCGCACCCCCCACCCCATGCCAGCCCGACCCAAGCGGCTTCTGCTTCCTGCCGCTGTGTGGGCAGTCCCCTGTCTGGCCCCTTCCCTGCCCGTCTGACAGGTCCTTGGGCCCTGGCCAGGCTGGGACAGGGGTGGGTTGGGACAGGGGCAGGCTGGCTCAAGATTACCTGGGAAAAGTCAGCATTAGCCCAGCTGGCTCCAGTCTACTTCAACCCAGGGGTGGTACAGGCACCTTGAGAGCCCTCAAGCTGGAGCCACCCTTGGGACAGTCAGGCCTTGGGGAAAGCCTGGGCCAACCCCACACCGCAGCCCCTGCAACTGCCTGGGCTCAGGCCTCAGCACACACTTCGCCCTGGGCAGGTCTCCTCAGGTGGAATCTGCAGAAGTGGGCCCAGCCAAGGGTCAGGGTCAGCACTGACCAGCAACTCCAATCGTCCAGTGGCCAGCACACCCTAGACACCCCGAGGAGGGAGGGCTCCTTTCTAGCCTGCCCCCACATCACCCCTCCCCAGCTTCCCAAACTTCTGCCTGCCCAAATAGGCTCTGACCGTGTTCTGTCCGGTCCCAAGACATTGAAGTCCTGGGGGATGCTGGCACATCTTGGCAATTGCTGAGGAGGGGGCTGGGACCCCTTTCCCTCCCAACCTTGAGCCCCAGGAGATACAGCGCCCACACCCAATCTTGGGACACCCCCTATCTGGTTGGAAGAGAGTAACCAGTTTCCAGAGAGCCAGAGAGTGAGAGAGGAAGAGAGCAAGAGTGAGTGAGAGAGAGAGAGAGAGAGAGAGACGCTGTTGAAGCAGAGAAACACTTCAACAGCCCAAAGATTTCCCTGCCCCTGGAGTGGCCTGAGGAGGCTCCAGGGCTGAAATGGTCGGGAGCCAGTTTCAGCCCCTCCTCCCCACAGCCCCATAGTGGGGAGGGGGCAGCTGTCCATTTGCCCAAAGTATTAATGCAACTGAAGCTGTGATATTTCCAACGAAGGAGGAAAAATTAAGGGGAGAGAGGAAAACAAACAAAACCAACCAACCCCTAAAATCATTTTGTTATTGTACATAACGACCTCATTCTCCTGTATATGCGGAAGATATAACCTTATATTTGGTAAGTGTTTCTTGTGCTATTTTATCACGTGACCTGTTTATAAAAATATATATTAAAAAAGTTGTAAAAACATGCGTCTGAGTTGTTTTTAGGTTATCAGACCATGGCTCAGGAGGGCGTATTTGCCCTGGGCAGCCCAGGTCTCTGGAATCCTCCTGTACCTCTCACCTCATCAGATTTATTCTTTCAACAAACACGGAGAGGCTAGTGCCACTGTGCCAGACTGTCACTCAGCAGTGACCAACGCAGAAGGCTTCTAACCTCTCATTGCTTAAAGGGGGAGAAATGATGCTAATGTCACTGCACATAATATTCCCTCCAAAATATCTAGGATCTAGCCCATCCTTCCAGAAAGGCAGAAATGAGGCCCGTTTTATGCACAGGCTAACAGGCTAAGAGAGGGACGAGGATGTCCTAAAAGGTCACACAGCGCACCCACACCCAGGAGAGAAAAGGAGGCAGAGAGAGGACCACTGATGGGATGGGTGTGTCAGGGACTGGAAGTTCAATTGGGACCAAGAGAAATGCACCCCTGCTCTGATGGAATTCACACTCGTGTGTGACAGACAGCCAGGAAACAAAGGAACAGCTTGTGACAAGTGGTGTGAAGGCCACAGGGATGGAGAAACCACGTTAGGGTTGGTGGCCAAGGAAGGCCTCTGTGGAGATGGCATTTAAGCTGCCCCGGGAAGGGTGAGGAGACCGTTCCAGAAAGGAGAGAAAGCACAGCGCACGCAGTGTCCATGAGGCAGGAAAGAGCTTGGTGGGCTGGGAAAGAGAGGCGAGCTGTGGGGGCTGAGACACAGCAAGAGGAAGAGTGTGGCTGGAGCAGTGTGTGTGGGGTGAGGCAGAGGCCAGGTGTTTGGGATTTATGCACAGTGCAGTGGGGAGCTATGGGAAGCCTTAGGCAGAAGAGTGGCACCGAGCTTCTGGGCGGGATTCAGATCAGAGGAGACTGATGGACCCAGGACAGCAGCTAGGAGGCTGCTCCTGACGACCAGGAGCAAGGAAGGAAGTGGAGACTGAGGCAGTTGGAACTTGTTTAAGGTCGACCAGACTTGCTGACGGGCCTGGGGGGTGGAATAAGCTCTAGTATTAAAGTACTGAGACTGAAAAACAAACAGCCGGGCGCGGTGCCGCGTGCCTGTAGTCACAGCTACCGGGGAGGCTGAGGCAGGAGGATCGCTAAGCCCAGGAGTTCCAGATCAGCCTGGGCTACACAATGGGACCCCTCTCTTAAAAAAAATTTTTTTTTAAGCCACACACAAGAAAACCACCGAGGAGGAATGAGGGAGCCCGGGCAGCCTGTCTACCCCAGCCCTACACCATTTCCCCGCGGCCTCCCCTAGCGCAGCTGCCTGACCCGGAACCCCCGTGGTACCGGCGAGTCCGCATTCGCTTCCGGCGAGGGGCGGGCAGGAGACGGACCACTTCCGGCGAGGGGCGGGAAAGACAGGCCGCTTCCGGCGCGGAGATTCCGGACCGCCGTGCACCTTTGGTGGCTGACTGGGTTCCGCGGAGAGAAAGGCTTCCTCGGCCCTCTGGTCCCGGTGCCGCAGCGTCCGCGCCCTCGCGCCACTGGAACCTCTGCGCCGCTCCCAGGAACCCCGTATTCCGTGTCGCCGGCTTCTGTCCTGCCTCCGGCCCCCCCACACACCTCAAGCTCCCTAACCAGCTCGGTCCTCGAGGGCTCTCTGTGCCCCTCGCGCCTCTATTGCCTGAGTCGTCTGGGCCCCTCTGTCCCTCTCCCCTCTCTTGTTCCTTCTCGGAGCCCCGCCGCCCTCGGAGGCCCCAGGGCTGACCGTGTGGACAGCGGGAGTCCCCTCGCTTCCCTGCTGGGATTGACTGAGGAAGGCTCAGTGCCCAGATCTGACTGCTGAGGGGGATGGAGGGGTGCCCTGGCCGGGACTGACCACTTAGGGTCAGACGTGGAAGACATGGAAGTCAGACATGGGACTGGCCAACCTCAACACTGATGCTGAGCCTTCTGACCGCCAGCTGGGGTGACAGGCTGCACTGACAGATTCCAGTGGGTTTGAGCTTGCCTGTCAGACAGGTTGCCTGATGGACTGCCCTGGACTGGCTCACCAAGCCTGAGCGGCCCAGGCCCAGGAAGTTCTGGGGGACCCCACCTCGATGAAAGTTCTGAACTGACCACCCACCCAGGCTGACCAGGCCAGCCCACTGTACTGACCTCCTGTCCCCATCACCCGTGCAGCCATGGAGAAGATGTCCCGGGTGACCACGGCCCTGGGTGGCAGCACACTGACAGGCCGCACCATGCACTGCCACCTGGATGCTCCGGCCAATGCCATCAGCGTGTGCCGTGATGCAGCCCAAGTGGTCGTGGCGGGCCGCAGCATCTTCAAGATCTACTCCATCGAGGAGGAGCAGTTCGTGGAGAAGCTGAATCTGCGTGTGGGCCGCAAACCCTCACTTAACCTGAGCTGTGCCGACGTGGTCTGGCACCAGATGGATGAGAACCTGCTGGCCACAGCAGCCACCAACGGTGTGGTGGTTACGTGGAACCTGGGCCGGCCATCCCGCAACAAGCAGGACCAACTGTTCACAGAGCACAAGCGCACGGTGAACAAAGTCTGTTTCCACCCCACCGAGGCCCACGTGCTTCTCAGCGGCTCCCAGGACGGCTTCATGAAGTGCTTTGACCTCCGCAGAAAGGATTCTGTGAGCACCTTCTCAGGTGAGGCCCCCCTGAGGCAGGTTGGGGCAGGTGGGCATCTCTGCTGGTGTCCAGTCTGTCCAGGCAGGCTGAGAAGTGCTCCATACATCAGAGGCCCTCAGATGCACTCCTAGAGGGCTTCCTGAAGGAGGTGGGGTGGATAAGGAGGTGGGGGCAGCCCTGGATGAGGTGTCACGATGGGGAGGCAGGTGGCAGGACCAGCAGGAACTGAGGCTGGGTGTGGGAGGGGAGGGCAGAGCCCCAGCTTTCTCACAGCCGACCCAGTGGCTGAGCAGAGGGCTCGTTGCGCTACCTCCCTTTCCCTCACTGCAGAGCTCCAGGCCACCTCAAGTCTGCCAGGACTTCCAGGGTTCTCAGCTCAGGGAGGCAGAGGTGGGGTACACTGTCTAGTCCCCCCAGGGTCCTTTCCCTGGGGGCCGTAACTTTGCCCAAGGACTGATGTAGGGTACAGAATCCAGGGACGATTGAAGCCCAGGAGTTTGTGTTAAAAACCACCCGGCGGCAGGGGGTGATGGCCTGTAATCCCAGTTGGGAGCCCGAGGTGGGAGGATTGCACGAGGCCAGCCTGGGCAATACAGTGAGACCCCCATCTCTACAATAAATTTAAAAAGTTAGCTGGGTGTAGTGGCGTGTGCTTGTAGTCCCAGCTACTTGGGAGGCTGAGGCAGGAGGGTTACTTGAGCCTGGGAGTTTGAGGCTGCAGTGAGCTGTGATCACTCCACTGTATGCCAGCCCAGGCGACAGCAGATCCCGTCTCAGTAATGAAAAGAAAAAGACACCAGGAATCCTGCTTCCCAGCCAGGGTCTTAGGGCCGCTCTGTGCGGCAACTCCTTGCCCCTGTCTGTGCTGGGCAGTCCACTCTACCCTCTGGGCCTCCTGGTAGAGGGTGTGTGACACCATCCCACAGCCACTCCTCGGGCCCTGCCCTGGGGACAAGCCCCCTTGCCTCTCCCTCCCCTGACACCTGTCCACAGGCCAGTCTGAGAGCGTGCGGGATGTCCAGTTCAGCATCCGGGACTACTTCACTTTCGCCTCCACCTTCGAGAACGGCAACGTGCAGCTCTGGGACATCCGGCGCCCCGACCGGTGTGAGAGGATGTTCACAGCCCACAACGGGCCTGTCTTCTGCTGTGACTGGCACCCCGAGGACAGGTGTGGGGACATGGGGGCAGGCAGCAGGGCTCAGGAAAAGCTCTCACTGCCTCAAGACCCGTGAGACAGAGAGTGGGGAGCGGCAGGGCTGGGGGACCCCCTCTCCCCTAGGACAGGTCACTGAGGGCATGGGTGGGGCCCTCCCACAGGGGCTGGCTGGCCACAGGAGGGCGAGACAAGATGGTGAAGGTCTGGGACATGACCACACACCGTGCCAAGGAGATGCACTGCGTGCAGACCATCGCCTCAGTGGCCAGAGTCAAGTGGCGGCCTGAGTGCCGCCACCATCTGGCCACGTGCTCCATGATGGTGGACCACAACATCTACGTGTGGGATGTACGCCGGCCCTTCGTGCCAGCTGCCATGTTTGAGGAGCACCGAGACGTCACAACAGGCATCGCCTGGCGCCACCCCCATGACCCCTCCTTCCTGCTGTCCGGCTCTAAGGACAGCTCACTGTGCCAGCATCTGTTCCGAGACGCCAGCCAGCCTGTTGAGCGTGCCAACCCGGAGGGACTCTGCTACGGCCTCTTCGGGGACCTCGCCTTCGCTGCCAAGGAGAGCCTAGTGGCTGCCGAATCAGGGCGCAAGCCCTACCCCGGCGACCGGCGCCACCCCATGTTCTTCAAGCGTAAGCTGGACCCCGCTGAGCCCTTTGCAGGCCTGGCCTCCAGCGCCCTCAGCGTCTTTGAGATGGAGCCTGGTGGTGGCGGCATGGGCTGGTTTGTGGACACCGCTGAGCGTTATGCTCTGACTGGCCGGCCATTGGCCGAGCTCTGTGACCACAATGCAAAGGTGGCTCGGGAGCTTGGTCGCAACCAGGTAGGAGGGGCTGGGTCGAAGGGGGCCGAGGAGCCATGGCCTCAGGGCAGGGGCTGGCTCCTCCAACACTGTACCCACCCGACCGCCCCCAAGCCCTCACCCCAGTAGCTGAAGGTGCCAAGATCACACAGGACGAGGGTGAGGGCTGTTCTCTGGTGGGGCAGAGGCCGGGAGAGTCATGCAGCTCAAGCCCTCTACTCTGCCCCGCAGGGAGGTGTGAGCTCTCCTCTGTGCCCCAGTCTCTTGTTGCCCCACTGGTCCCCAGGCTCATTTCCACTGTCTGCCTCCCAATTCTGTTTCCTTCTGAACTGCTGTAGGATGCAGACTGGTTTTTTGTCTTTCCCACGGGCCTCAGCTTCCCCACTGGGGGAGGGCCAGGACCTTGGTCTCCTGGGCAGCTAGATGCTGGGGGTTTGTGATTCTCTCCAGCCAGAGGGGGTCCTGCCTGGGGTGCTGGGTGCCTAGGACCCCCGCAAGTGACTGGTGCCTGTCCCCAGGTGGCCCAGACATGGACCATGCTGCGGATCATCTACTGCAGCCCTGGGCTGGTGCCCTCTGCCAACCTCAACCACAGTGTGGGCAAGGGCAGCTCCTGTGGCCTGCCGCTCATGAACAGGTGGGTGCTGGGGTGGCGCTCCCCGGAGGGTGGGGCTGCTGGAGCCCACCCACTCATGGGCGCTCCCTGCCCCCAGTTTCAACCTGAAAGATATGGCCCCAGGGCTGGGCAGCGAGACCCGGCTGGACCGCGGCAAAGGCGACGCGCGGAGCGACACCGCTCTGCTGGACTCCTCGGCCACGCTCATCACCAACGAGGGTAGGTGGAGGCTGGGCAGGACGCCGACGGGAGGGGCTGGGCATCCCCCAGCACACTGCCCCTGAGCGCCCTCCCCGCTGGGCAGATAACGAGGAAACCGAGGGCAGCGATGTGCCCACCGACTACCTGCTGGGCGACGCGGAGGGCGAGGAGGACGAGCTGTACCTGCTGGACCCAGAGCACGCGCACCGTGAGTGGGGGCTCGGGGCGGGCTGGGGAGGAGGCGCAGATGAGGACGGAGGCTCAGAACCCCCTCGCCCGGCCGCTGCCTCCCAGCCGAGGAGCCCGAGTACGTGTTGCCGCAGGAGGCCTTCCCGCTGCGCCACGAGATCGTGGACACGCCGCCTGGGCCCGAGCACCTGCAGGACAAGGCGGACTCACCACACGTGAGCGGCAGCGAGGCAGACGCCACCTCCTTGGCGCCCATGGACTCCTCCTTCTCGCTCCTGTCTGTCTCACATGCGCTGTATGACAGTCGCCTGCCGCCTGACTTCTTCAGCGTGCTGGTGCGCGACATGCTGCGCTTCTACGCGGAGCAGGGCGATGTCCAGATGGCGGTGTCCGTGCTCATCGTGCTGGGTGAACGTGTGCGCAAGGACATCGACGAACAGACCCAGGTGCGTGACCGGGCGCGGGAGGGCCTCGAACAGCTGCTGCCACAGGGCAGCCCTGCGGCCGAGCCGGCCCTTCCAGGCGCCGCCCGCACTGCGCTGGGCCACCCTGACCTCCGCCCCGCCCCCCCGCAGGAGCACTGGTACACGTCCTACATTGACCTGCTGCAGCGCTTCCGCCTCTGGAACGTGTCCAACGAGGTGGTCAAGCTGAGCACCAGCAGAGCCATCAGCTGCCTCAACCAGGCCTCCACCACCCTGCACGTCAACTGCAGCCACTGCAAGCGGCCCATGAGCAGCCGCGGCTGGGTCTGCGACAGGTGCGGCCGTGGGGGGCGGCGCGGGGGCCTGCCGGCGGCCCAGGAGCCCCTCGCTGAGGCCCCCTCCTGCCCGCAGGTGCCACCGCTGCGCCAGCATGTGTGCCGTCTGCCACCACGTGGTCAAGGGTCTGTTCGTGTGGTGCCAGGGCTGCAGTCACGGCGGCCACCTGCAGCACATCATGAAGTGGCTGGAGGGCAGCTCCCACTGCCCGGCCGGCTGCGGCCACCTCTGCGAGTACTCCTGAGCCGCCGCCGCCCGCCCGCGCGCGGGGCCTGCAGCTTGTGAGCCCAATAAAAGGAGTGGGAGCCGCTGTCGCGCGCCTGTCGTCGGTCGCGCCGTGCGGGCGGGGCGGGCGGCGGTGTCGCCACGGCGACCGGCGGCCAATGGCAGCCGTCGGTGCGGGCCGCGCGGCGCCTCCCGGAAGTGCTCCCCGGGGGCGGGCCTCGGAGGCCGCTTCCGGGGCCGGCGCGGCGCCGGCCGTTGTCACAACGACCGGGCGAGCGGCCATGGCGGGCGGCGGGCGGGCTCCCGGCGTGCAGCGCGGCGGCGGGCTCATGGCGTCGGAGCCGCTGCTGCTGCTGCTGGCGCTCTGGGCGCTGGTGGCTCCGGCTCGGCCCGGGCCGGCGGGCGACGGGGGGTGGTGAGCGCGCCGGGCGGCCGGGCCGGGCGGCGGGAGGCGGCGCGGGGGGCGGGCGGCGCTGACCCGGCTGTGCCCGCAGGCGGCGGGGCGGGCCGGCGGCGGCGGCGGAGGAAGAGCACTGCACGGTGGAGCGCCGGGCCGACCTCACCTACGCCGAGTTCGTGCAGCAGTACGTGCGCCCTGCCGCCCCCGTGCCCGGAGCTCGCTCGCCCTGAGCGCCGGGCCACGCCTTGTTTACCGGCCCGACTGCCCCCGACCGCGGGCGCGGCTCGGAGCCGGCCGCGACTCTGCTCTTCCCTTGCAGCTACGCCTTCCTCAGGCCCGTCATCCTGCAGGGGCTCACAGACAACTCGGTGAGCGCTGCGCGTCCGCGCGCTTGTCCCGGCAACTCCCCCGTGCCTGGCAACTGAGTCTTCTCCCCACCCCCACAGAAGTTCCGGGCCCTGTGCTCCCGCGAAAGGCTGTTGGCCTCCTTTGGGGAGAGAGTGGTTCGGCTGAGCACTGCCAACACCTACTCCTACCGGAAAGGTGAGCTGCTGCACCCCGTGGCACCCGCCTGCTTGCTGGCATCCTGGAGGCAGGACCAGCCAGTCCTGACCGCCCTTTTTCCGGCAGTGGACCTGCCCTTCCAGGAGTACGTGGAGCAGCTGCTGCACCCCCAGGACCCCACCTCCCTGGGCAACGGTGAGCCAGACCTGGGTGGCAGTGGGGTTGGGGACACTTAAGAGTCCCCAGGTGCCAGGATCCCTGCTCCCTCTGTCTTCTCTGCCGGCAGACACCCTGTATTTTTTCGGGGACAACAACTTCACTGAATGGGCATCACTGTTTCGGCACTATTCCCCACCCCCGTTTGGTCTGCTGGATACCACTCCTGCTTACAGCTTTGGAATCGCAGGTGGGTGCTCCTGGGAATGAGAGGGTGCTGGAAGGTGGGCACAGATGAGGTTTGGTCACCAGCTGCTTATAACTGATCCCACAGGAGCTGGCTCTGGGGTACCCTTCCACTGGCACGGACCTGGGTATTCAGAGGTGATCTACGGCCGCAAGGTCAGCACAGGGTGGGGTTGAGGCTTGGGACTCACTGACCACAACACACAAGAGTGACTTTGCCATTCCTGCCCCCAGCGCTGGTTCCTCTACCCACCTGAGAAGACACCCGAGTTCCACCCCAACAAGACCACGCTGGCCTGGCTCCAGGACACATACTCAGCTCTGGCACCGCATGCACGGCCCCTGGAGTGTACCGTCCGGGCTGGTGAGGTCAGTGGCTGGCAGGAGAGGGCCGGGCCAGGCCAAAGGGCCCCCAGCTAATCCCTGTGCTGTACCCCTCCTGTTCCAGGTGCTGTACTTCCCTGACCGCTGGTGGCATGCCACACTCAACCTAGACACCAGCGTCTTCATCTCTACCTTCCTTGGCTAGCCAGAGCCAGCTGCAGGCAGGACATGTCACACGCCAGCACATGCCCACCTAGTGCTCACAGATTTTATTACAGAGACGGTGGTAGCAGCAGTGGCCTGAGCCCAAGCCACCCTCACCTGTTTTCCAGCCCAGACGGGGGACAGGGGAGGCTTGTGGCCCAGCAAGAGCTATGCTGAGAGGGGAGCAGTCCAGAGCCCAACAGCAGAACTGATGGGGGTGCAGGCCCAGGGACACAAACTATGTACAGGGGCTGGGGGCTTCTGCCCCAGGGCCCTCCCGGGCCAGGACCCCAGGCAAGGTGCAGTGGGGGGCTGTGGGGGGTTCAGTAGTCCTCCACCCAGCCGTTCTCAGAGATGAATGCGTCAATGACCTCCTTCATGGCCAGGTTGGGGATGAGCTGTTCCTGGGTCAGGGGGCTCCGGGTCACAGGGTCAAAGTGGCCCACACGCTGTGGTAACAAGGTCAGAGAACACTTAGTGGGCCCAAGGGCCACGCTGCTGGCCCTGTGCCCGATGGTCTGTGGGTCCTCACCTGCAGGTGCTCCTCAATGTCCTTGCGGTCGTAGGTGATGCCACTGGGTGTGATGCATGGCTCCCGCATCAGCTCGAAGCTGATCTTACCACACAGGTAATCAGGGATGTCTCGTTTCTGTGCCATATAGGGGCGTAGGGTCAAGGACCAGGAAGGAGACACTGCTCCAGCACCTGCTACCCGGACTTCAGGGAACACTCACCTTTCTCTTCTCGTCCACCTGCGAGAAGAGCTCATCCATGTCCGCCATGTATTTGTCCTGCAGAGAATCCAGCACTGCGCTTGGACTAGACGTCCCTCCCCCACAGGCACCTCACGTCACGTGCGCGCGTACCCACAGACCCCTGCGTGAGCCAGGGCACCTTACATGCTTGGCCTCGATGCAGGCCTGCTGAGCCCGGACATGGCCTTCATCCTCGTCACCCTCGTGGTTCCGCTGACACTCCTCCAGCTCCCTGGGGGTTGAGCAGAAACTAGTCAAAGGCAGACCTAGCAAGGAGCCGTCAGACCCCACCCCAACCTCAGGGCAGATGTTCAAGTCTCCTCCCCCTTGATTTCCTGCTTGCCAGCGTTGGCTTTCAATAAACACTTGTATTGGTAGTTGGTGACTCAGAGTTAATGGGAGACGGGGTGGCCTGGTAGGGGGAGGGGCCCACCTCTCACGCTCCGCTGCGATGAGCCGCGTGAGGTAGGAGTGCAGCTCACTCTCCTGGTGGATGCGCCGCTCCTCGATGCTGTTCCAGCGCTTCTTCTTAGCAATCCGCAGTGCACTGGGGATGTCATCCCCAAAGTTGAGCCGCTGCTCCTTGGCCAGGCTGTAGGCTGTGGGAATGGAGGTTTCAGGTCACCCTCTGGCCTGTACACCCACCTAGTCCCAGGCACCCTGCAGCCAGACAGCACGGTGGCCCACCTCGCTGCAGATTGGCGATAGCCTCGTCATAGCTCTCCATCTCCAGCTGGCACTGCCCCAGGAAGAAGTGCGCCTTCACAGACTGCCCGTCCAGCTCCAGGGCGCGGCGGCAGTCGGCCAGCGCTTGCTCGTGCTGCTGCATCTTCAGGTAGCACAGGGCCCGGTTGGTGTAATACACCGCCACCAGGGGATTCCGGGTCTGGGGACCGAGGCCAGGCCAGCCAGCATGAGGCTGCGGGCTCACCCAGCCCCCTCTGTCCCAAAAAGCTGACACCCCGATGTCCCAGGTCCTGTCCCAGCTTTGGGGCCCCGGGCTGGAAATCAAGAAACTAGGTTTCTCAGTTGTCAAAGCCCCGGGGCCCAAGGATCCGCAGAAAGTGGAGTCCTGGCTGAGTCCACCCTCTTGGCTCCAACTGGTCTTGTAAAGTTTCTCTAACCTGTAGAGAGCCGCGGCTTTGGGCCTGGGGTCCTCGAGGGGCAGGAGTCCCTGTCCTCCAACCCAGCCAGCCTCACTGCGGGGCACAGTTCTCCAGCCAGCAGGTTCGAGAGTCCGGGCCTGAAGCCCGCGTCCCGCTCCCTCCCCCGGCGCCGACTCCGACCCCCCGCCGCGGCGCACTCACGATGGCGCGGCCATAGCAGGCCGCCGCCTCCGGGTACTTGCGGCCCACGAAGAGCCGGTTGCCCTGCTCCTTGAGCTCCTGCGCGCTCGGGCTCTTCTCGGGGCTGCCGCCGCCGCCGGCGCCCATGCGCGCGCCGCCCTCCTTCTCCTCCTTGCCCTTCATGGCGCCGCGCGGCACGGCCTGGGCTCCGCTCCCGGGCTCCGCGCCCGGCTCGCCCTGCGCCCGCAGCCCGAGCCCGAGCCCCGCAGCCCAAGCCCGCGATCCGCTCGGGCCCGGTCCAGCAATCCGCCACCGGAACTTCCGGCCGCGCGGGGCGGGGCCGGCGCGATAGACACGTGAGGGCGGCGGGGTCGCGCGTACGTCCGACGAGCCGCGAGAGGCGGGTACGTTGGCGGGCGGGAGGAGCGCCTCCCGAAGGCCCGGCCTGCCCCGCTAGACCCTTCCCGGGTGGGCTCCCCGCAAGCCTGCGTGGGCCGCCGGCGGCCCCGCCCCCGTCCCAGGGACGCTCAAGCCCTCCCCTCGCAGCCGGCCCCGCCCCGGCCACAGAGACCCCGCCCCTCGCAGCCGGCCCCGCCCCGCCCGCAGAGGCTCCGCCCCCACATGAAGATGGCGGCTGCCGGCGGGCTGTGGGGCTGCGAGGACCCCGGCCGCCGGGCCGCCATCCTGGAGCACCACGGAGACGTGCTACGGGCGCGCGCGCCCCCAGGGGCGGCTGGAAGCCCTGGACGTTGGTAGGCGGAAGGGGATGAGGGGATCGGTATGGCGGGCGCCCCGCGGCCCGGACTCCCGTCACCGCCCTTCCCCAGGTCTCGGCAGGCAACGGCTGCGGCCATCGGGGGCCCGAGCGGAGAAGCACGTGACTCGAGGGCCGCGGCAGCGGCTGCTGGCGGGGAAGCCGCGGGGCGGGGCGTTCAGCGGGGCGGGGCCTCACGGGGCGGGGCGTCCTGCGGGGCGGGACCTCACGGGGGCGGGGTCCTCCAGGGACCCCCTGACCTGTCCGCTGGCAGAGGGGGCGCTTCCGGCCGCGTCTACAGCAGCTGGGGGCCGCCAACGCCCTCTGGAGCTGGCGGAACTGCGCTCGGCCGCCGCCTTCCGCCTCCTGCCAGACGTGCGGGCCGCGGTCATGCAGCTGCGCGTTCTCCGCGTGCGGGCCCCGCCACGGCCTCCGGTGAGTGGGGCCGTGTCTGCGCGGTGCGCTCTGGGACAGGAACGTCACTCGGAGCAGGAGCCACGAGGTCTTGGGCAGCCTGGCGCAAGTCTGCAAGACCCCGTCCCCACACCGTCGGGCCTGAGTGCTGCTGCTTCTCTGCCCCAGCGGTGCTGGCGGCCAGCTCCGGAGGCGGCCGCAGTGCCTAGCCTGCCGGCCCGCAGAGCACCCTCAAGCACTACCTGCTGTACCTGGGCCAGGTGCAAGAGCGAGCCGCGGCTCTGGGCCGAGGTGAGCGGACTGCGGTGGGCAGGGAGGGCATCCCGAACCCCAGGCAGGACCGTGGCTGGCATCTCTGGACTCGACGCCTGTGCTCTCCCTAGCCAGTGCCTCAGGACCGTAGACCCCTCACCTGTGGAAACAGCGCTGTGGACCTGGGCCATAGGGCAGAATCTGTGTCCAGACCTGCTACCCAACCTTAGCCCTGACCACTCACGAAGACACAAGGCCAGCCAAGCAGCCCAGGACCCAGGCCATTCCCCTGCCACGCAGGCTGACTGAACAGGAAGCTGGCCAAGTTTGCCGAACTCACCCTGACTCGCAGGCCCACAGCCCTCCCTCTTGCCCCTGGCTCCCATGCCTCACTCCAGGGGCAGAAGTGCAAGGGGGAAGAAAACCCAGGCCTTCATCGTGGTGGGGAAGGGTCCCTTATGTTCAGCAGGTGTTGGGGGGCCAGACAAGCCTCCAGAGCCCCGGGACAGCCACCTGGTGCTGTGTAAAATATTTATTCATTTTCGAAAAAGGCTCAGACTGCAAGTCCTGGGGGTGGGGCTGGGGGGGTGTGGTACACGGACTCCTCTGCGGCCACCCACCCAGCCCTGGCCCAGCCGCCCTCCCACTAGGCCTGGGAGGGGCAGCCAGGGCTGGAGCGAGCCTTGGCCTCAACTCAGCGGGCCATAGGGGCCACCTGCCCTGTGGGAGCGGCAGCCCTGAGATGTCCATCCACGGAGGCAGACACGAACGCCCGCCTGGTGGCCGGCCCCCCACGTGCACAAGCCCGGCCCAGGGGAGCGGGTCAGGGCGGCGGGGGGATGTGGGCACCCAGCAGGTCGTAGGCGAAGATGTTCCAGAAGACGGCGAAGAGCAGGAAGGTGCCGTAGGCCAGCAGCACCACCCACCAGCCACACTGGTCCTGCAGGCGCTCCTCGTAGCTGCGCAGGATGGTCAGGCCCATGCTGACACCCACCACCGCGCCCGCCAGGTGTGCCATGAAGCTGGGCTGCGGGCCTGAGGCAGGCAGCGGTGGGGAGAAGCGCAGCCACACGGCCCGGCCCACCTCGGAGCTCACTGCGGAAGGATGCGGCAGGTGGGAGGTGCCCTAGCTGCAGGTGGAGGGGCCCCCAACCCTACCCAGCCCCTACTCACTGCACACCAAGGCCAGCACCATTCTCAGCAGCTTGTAGGGACACCTCATGCCAGCCCAGTTCTGATGGGGGGTGCAGACAGAGAGGCCATGAGGCACGCCAGGGGGGCCCCTCCCCACACCCGCCGCTGGGCAGCCCCGTTACCATGACAACGTTGGCCAGGTGTGCAGAGCACAGAGCGTACACTCCGCCGGAGCCGCCCACCACGGGGGCCCGCATGTCGGTGATGGAGACCGTCAGGGAGCCTGTGGGTGGGGGGGGCGGTGAGGGCAGGGCCAGCCAGTGAGGCGGGCAGGGGGCGCGCGCCTGCCTCACCTGCCAGCACGCCCGCCAGGTAGAGCAGGCTGATGCGGAGCAGGCCGTGCACCATCTCCAGGGGCACCCCGATCATCAGCTGCAGGAGGGCATTGAACCCCAGCTGCTCCAGCCTGGCCACATGGGGGACAGGCACCAGGGTGGGGTCAGCTGTCTGCCCGCCCCCAGCCCTTGTCTCAAGTTGCTGCCTGTCCCTTGGGCTGAGCCTCTCTGATGTAACGGGTGGGGTGTCAGGGTGGGCTGGCCTGGCCAAGCCAGCAGCCCCACTCACCCGACGTGCATGAACATGTAGGTGAGGAAACGCCAGGCCCGGGCGCGGTGCCCAGGGTGGTACACGAGGGGGCTCTTCATGTACTCAGGGTGGTAGGTCTGCAGCACCCACTTGTTGAGGCGGGCCCCATAGCACAGAAACACGATGATCTGGGGACACAGCGTTAGGGCTGGTCAGGGCCAGGGACGCAGGAGGCTCCCAGGGCAGCAGGTGGGTGGTCCCACCTGGGCAAGGGTGACAGAGGCCATGAACACAGGGGGCGGGCAGCTGCGGTGGCGGTAGAAGTACCAGCGGCGGTCCACCTCACAGGGCAGGATCTCGTAGGCTACATAGCGCACAAACCGCTTGTAGACACCCAGGCCCGGCTCGTCCAGCAGCCCGTCCCGGGGCAGCGCCCGCTGTCCATTAGCAATGGCCCGCTTGAAGCTGCTGGAGCGCTTGCTGCTGATCTAGGGGCAGGGGCCAGAGAGTGGGCCACGGATTCTCTCCCATGGCACCCTGGCTGTGTGGCCTGCCCAGCTCCCACATCCACAAGCCCTCCCCAATGGGAGAGGGGCCACCTGCCCACACCCCTCTGGCCAGAGCACTGGGTCCACCCAGGCCCTGCCCCTGCTGCCCACCCATCGTGGCACTGACCAGGTCCACCAGCTCCTGGTAGCAGACCTGGCCCCGCTCGTTGCTCTGGGCCAGGGCCACCAGCATGTCCAGCTTGGCCGGGTCCAGGGGCAGCTCATGGCTGTGCACCAGACCAGCGAAGGTGTCTGCGCCGATGAAGCCTGTGTTCTCGGGGTCCAGCTGCTGGAGTGGGGGAGCTGCCAGCCAAGGCCTGAGGGCGGGCCGACCCCCGGACCACAGGACTGGGCCAGGCCGGCTGGGAGCAGCAGGCTCCTGGGGTCCCGGTCCTCCAGCTTCCTAGCAATTCCCACCTCCTTCCCACCCTGCGAGGGGAGGGCCAAGGTCCGAGAACCACCCTCCCTCTGCCCCTCCCTCCAGGGGCCCGGTCCAGCCAGCCCTCTGCTGGGGTCTCAGACATGGGGCTCAAGGTCGTGTAGGGAGGGGCTGGGGTGTGCCAAGCGAGGCTCTCTGGGAGCTGGGTCCCCCACGAGCTCAGCCCCGCCGCAGGACGGCAGCATCCAGGGTGGTACCGGCTCCCCAAACACCCGCTACATACCTGCTCCTGGATGAGCTGCAGCAGGGAGCTCCTGTCCATAGAGCCAGGGCCAGGCCGGGGGGCCGGGGTCAGCGGCCGCGGCCGGGAGGGGCTGCTCTGCGGACGGCTCCGCTCCGCCCCAGCCGACCCGCTCCCGCTCGGTGCCGCGCCGCGCTCAGGCCGCGTCAGAGCTGCCTGCCCGCCCCCAGCGCATACGCTGCCTCGCGCGGCCGGGACACGCGCGCACCCTGCACGCGGACGCGCCGGCCAGACCGCCTCTGGACACACACCCTGGGCAGGAGCGGCCTCCGCCGACCAGCGCCCATCCCCCACCCCCGCTCAGGCTCAGCTCCTGCGCATCGCGGGCACCGTCCGCCTCCCTCCCAGGCAGCAGCTGGAAAACTGAGTCAAGTGGCGGCACCTGAATCCCCACCCATGCAAGACCTTTTGCACTCCTTCACAGGCTTCCCAGGCTCAGGCCTTGTAAGGATGTCACCTCCTTGGGGAAGCCCTCCCTGATTACCCCACCACAATCCTTGCAGTTCATCTGTGTGTCTGCCTCGGGCTGGGAGCTCCCTGATGCACCCACCTGCGGCAGACACACCCCCTCCCAGTGTTGCAACAGGGAAGCCTCACCGGGCACCAAGGCCACTTGGCAAGGTGGGAAGACCCTCCTGTAGCTGCCCCAGCTCAGATGACCAAGAGCAACCCACATCTTGACACCCTGGGCTGGGGCTGGAGGCCCCACTCAGCTGCAGGAGCTGTCAGAGGCCTCTAGGCCCAGGGAGGCGCCAGGGCTGGCACAAGGGGTGTTCAGACAGCCCCAGGGCAGCAGAGCAGCACCCCCAGTGGGCAGGGCTGTAGCTGGGATAAGGGAGGGGACCTGTCCCTGGGAAAGGTGGGCACACCCTCCAACAATGAAGGTGACAGAGACGCAACACGTAACCATGGAAAGCCTCCAAGGGCCGCTCAAAACCCTGCTCAAAACCCTGCCCCTGCCGTTGCATCTCTGCAACGGAGCCAGCACTCCGCAGCTGGGCCTCAGGGGGGTGCCGGAGGCTCGGAATAGCATCCTGCCCTGCCCCAGAGCAGGCTGAGAACAGAACCCGCTGCTGGGCCAGGTTGTGGGGATGGTGCTGGGACTTCAGCGTCCCTGCAGGGCAGGCAGCACTGCGGGACCTGGGGGAGGTCCCTGGCCCCAGCACGCAGGTCTGTGGATGCCTGTCTAGGTGGCCCTGGGGAGAGACCATGCCGTGCGGCTTTCTTGGCTCTGGGCCCCAGGAAGCACATGTCTGGGCCCATCCCCAAGTTGGTCCCTCCCTCATCTGAGGGCTGCCCGCTTCCTTCAGGCCAGGGCTCTACGGCCAGCCCTGCTCAGGGGCAGGACATGCAACGCACTTGGTCACACTCAGAAACCCAGGTTCTTGGCACAGCTCAGCCAGGCTGACTGGATGCTTTGGGGAGTGGGCGGAGCTGGGAGCCACACAGGGCCGGGGAGGGGGGCAGTCACCAGGCACATCCAGAGAAGGTATGGTCTGCAGCGGGCCTCACCCAGACTGCTTGGCCTGCATGGACAGGAGTCCCCTGGGCCACATCTGGCACAGCTGGACCTTCCAGACGCACTCAACACATTGGCCTGAGGCCATGGGATGGTGACCCAGGGACCCAGGGGAGGTGTGACATATCCAGCCCACACCAAGACACAAGATGTGTTCTAGGTTGGTTCAAGAAAAGCTGTTTTCAGAGACTGGGAGCCAAGAGATAGAAAAGACACAAGTGAAGTTTAATTAGAAAACCCAACCTTGTGTCTTCCACCATGGGTACAACCGTGGGAAGGCTCCAGATCTAATGGAAGGGTGGGGGAGCCCAGTCCCCACCTCGGCCCAAGCTCTGCATTCCAGCCCCTTCACAGCCACCGGCCACCCAGGACCAGGAAAGAGGTGGAGCCCTGAGAATCCTGGGTCTGGGGTCGCCTGTGTCTCCCAGCCCAACACACACAAAGCCCACAAAGGAGCACAGTGCCTGCGGTGTGGCGGCACGCGGGGATCCTGCCACACACCTGCCACGGCCACCTCGGGCCCAGGCAGAAGCCAGGGCGCCGCGCCGCAGGCTGGAGGGCCCTGCCCAGGGGCAGAGTGAGTCAGAAGCTGAGGGTTGGAGAGAAGGGAGCTCCCTGAGCGGCGGCCCTACGGCAGCACCTGGGGCCCGAGGTCAGACTGCTGGGCTGGGAGCCCACACCCCACAGCCATGCTGTCCGCAGGGAGCCCCGCAGGTCAGGGAGGGCTCGGGGTCCCAGGGGCCTCATCGACTCTTCACCAGGACCCTGTAGAGCGAGAAGCTGAGCACCGCGGCCACAGCAGCCCCGACGAGCCCCAGGATCCCCCGGAGCCAGAAGGAGGAGGGACGCAGCTCTGCTCGGGCCAAGTGTCTGCAAGAGAGAGGTGCTGTCTGCAGCAGCCCCAAGCACGGGCCCACCCTCAACCGTGTCCCAGTCAGTCAGGTCTCCCAGAGCACAGGGGCAGCCAGCAGGGACCAGGCTGTGGGACAGGCACACCCAGGCACAGGCTCTCCGTGGAGCGCAGAGCCCCACCCGGCAACCCTGCCCCTGCCCCAGCCCCACCACAGCTGCCCCAAGGCCCTGGGGCAGGACAGGCCACCCTCTTCCTGGGACTATGGCGCCGGGTACGCACGGGAAGGCGGCCATGGTGGCGAGCCGGGTAAAGATGGCAGTACTGGGCTCGTCCGGGCCAGCGCAGGAGAATGGGACGGGGGCGGGCAGCCGGTGCCTGCGGCAGAACTCTGCTGGTGACAGGCCGCGCACTGTGGCGCCTGTGGGCAGGTCGGCTTTGGAGCAGAGGAAGAGGCAAGGCGTCTGCCCGTCCATGTAGTGGCGCTATGGGGGAGCGCAGTGTGAGGCGCAGCCCCAGGGCATCAAGGCACGGCGGGCAGAGCCCCCGGCAGGTGCACAGGCCAGGCCTCACCTTGTAGATGCTGGTGCAGTATGAAAAGGACTCTGGGTCCCTGCCGTCAAACATTAGGCAGGCAACGTCACAGGTAGCATCCAGGGAGGCGTCTAGCAGGCTGTCTGCGCCCACCTCACACAGCTGGGACAGACGGTGGCCTCAGGGAAGGGTCCCCAGGGGCTGGGTCCCCCAGGGGCTGCACTGAAATAGCTCCACCAGGTACGGGATGGACGAGGGGGTGTCCCCAGGGTCAGCACTCACGATCAGGTACTTCTCCTGCCCGTTGACCTGCACGGTGTTGATGGCGTAGGTAGGGGGCTCCGCAGGGGACTCCCTGGCGTCCTGGCGCTGAGGAGGGAGGAGACCCCGATGCTCAGTGGCCCCAGTGCACCGAGATGGCCCTGCCCCTGCAGCCAGCAGATGGGGCGCAGGGCCTCGTGCACACTCACCCCCAGGCCGTGGCCAAGGAAGGCGCGCAGGAAGGCAGACTTGCCCACTCCTCGGGCGCCCACCACCTTGCACATGAGGACGCTGCGCTGTGTCTGCCCCTTCTCCTGGTCCAGCCTCTTCTCTCGGGTGACTGTGAGGATGGGCATAGCTTAGGGTGGCTGCCAAGCTCTAGGCCCAGGGCCTGGCGAGGATGGGCGCCCACCTGTGATGGCCTGGGCCTGGGAATCCTCGCAGAGGGTGGGGTAGCCCAGGTAGCCAAGGTGCCCGAGGCAGCGCTGGACATCCAGGTAGGTCAGCAGCCTGGGGGAGGAGGAAGGCGCAGCGTTACGGTGGGGAGGGGCAGCAGTGCCGCAGGCGGGCATGGCGCAGGCTGCACTCACGTCCACTGGCAAAGGTATCCGTGTAGCGGCAGCCAGCCGGCCTCGGTGCAGACCGTGCCCAGGAGCTCAGGGCCCCAGGGAGTAGCTGGGAACACACTGAAGAGGCTCTGCAGCTCCGCAGGTGACAGGGCGCCATCACAGTCCTGCAGGGAGGGGGCCGTGGTGACGTGAGCCAGAGCCGTGGCGGCAGGAGGATAGCAGTGAGGCGCACACAGCCACAGGCTCTCACCTGGTCGTGCTTCTCAAACACCCTCTGCACAAACTGGTGGCCCAGGTGGTTGAGCTCGGTGCTGCAGCCAGGGGGCACGTGGAGCCTGCAGGGACACAATAGCCCGTCTGGTTCGCAGGGGACCCTGTGCCACCAGGCTTGACACATCTGGCTGACACCCTGAGGGCCCCATCTCAGCAGCCAAACCCTCCCTACAGAGCCCGGAGGCTCCTGTACCCCGACCCTGCAGACGGGGCCAGGGAAGGAGAGCGGCCACCTGCCCCAGTACGTCAGAGGGCTGAGGTTCCCAGGTCCCCGGGCGACAAGTCCCAGCCTGCCTGCCTGCAGCAGCAGGCCCCGCAGAGGCGCAGGTCTCAGGGCAGAGCCACGGCCTGTGCTGCAGGGCACAGCCCCTGATGCGCCTGCTGAGGGGGAAGGGGGGACCCCCTACACCCAGGGCTGGTGAGCCCCAACCCCGCTCGCCACTCACGGCGGGTAAAGGTAGTCGGCCGTCAACTCAAGAGTGTCACTGTAGCCGAAGCGCCGCAAGATAGTCCACGTGGTCTCATGCCGGCCACGCTGGATGAAGAGGGTGTTCAGGAAGAGGAAGCCTGTGCCGAGACAGAACAGGGGTAGCCCCAGGCACGGCCGGCCACTGCCCAACACCCAGGGACCTGTGGGGGCCTGGCCTCACCGTCCAGGGTCAGCCGATCGCCCTGCACGCCGCCCGCCACGTTCTTGCGCACCACCATCTTCACGTCCTCCAGCGCCTGTGGGGCCAGCGGGTGCCCAAAACAGGCTTTCTGCCTCCAAGAGATTAAAGTGGCTGAGTTGGCCACCTACCCTGAAACTGCAGGTCTGACCACGAACAGTGGCAGAGGCCTGGGCAGGAGCGGGCACCTTGGGGCGGGCGTGGGGCCACACCTGGAAGGCATTGAGCTCCTTGTCACTGAGCGCCTGGTCCAGGTCCTGATCTGAGAGTCTGAAGATGCGTGTGAGGGCCTGGATGCACGCGGGCCTCAGCTGTGGGGATAGCGGCTCAGTGGCCCCAGGCAGCCCCTGTCCCACCCTTTAGTTCCGCCTGTTTGCCCTCTCGGCCCAACACCCCCCATGGGGCCCTGGGGAGCCGAGGCCCACCTGCTTGGCCTCAGGGTCATACAGGGGAGCTGTGGGGTGCAGGACAGCCTTCTGGGCATAGTAGAACAGTTCTGAGATGTTCCTCAGGTTCTTGGCTGAACACTAGGGAAGATCGGACAGGGTCAGGGACACACCCAAGGAAGACAGGGCAGGGGTCAGGGCCCCCGGACACCCACACAGGTGCCTGCTCCAGGGCCTCAACACTGAGTTCCCGTCCTAATCGCCTTGCGTCAGCTGGGACCACGCCCTGCCCACTCACCTCTACGCAGGTCTCGATCTCGGGGAACTGGTTCATGATGGGAAGCACGGCTTCCACAGAGCTCCCCGGCCGCAGGTCTGACTTGTTACCCACCAGGATGATGGGCACCCTGGGAGAGGGGGTCATGGTCACCAGGGAGGCAGAGCCAGCGGGGCGCCCCCCAGGTCCTGCTCATTACCTGGGCCCCTTCTCGGTCCCCCCATTCACCAGCGGGATCCACTTGGTTCGGATCTGAAAGGCAAAGCCCAGCTGTGAAGTGAGGCTGCCCACCTGGCCCACAGCTTCCAACCGGCTCACACGGCTCAAAGAGAGCAGAAGCGAAGGTTGAGGCCAACTAAAGGCCCAAGTCTCAGCCACTGGGTATGAGGCCGGGGGAGAAAGCAGATGCAGGTGCGACCTTGTACGCCTGACCCTAGCAGCTGCAGCCCAGGGTAGCCCAATACAGGCCTGCAGTCACTTGCCGGGGCGTTTGTTCTGGGACTGGATAGGGAAGAGGGCTTGCCACACGGTTCAGAATGGCAGCAATCCCAGGCTGTGGGGGTGGGCACTCGGGTGTGAGGCTCTCTGGGGGAGCAGCCAGCAGCTCCAGGTGAGGGTCCCCAAAACACTTGTTATACATGGGGCCGGCCGTTCACAGTGTTGGGTGAAGGTCCACCTTGGCCACCCTGTCCTGCTACTGGAGTCTGCATCGAGGACAGGGTGCTAACCGAGCGGGTGCCAGCAGCTTACCTTCTCAATTGTGGCCTCCTCGGAGACATCGTACACCACACACACCACGTTTGCCTGCAGGGACAGTGGGAGGCGCGGGGAGACGAGAGGCTGCCTGCTCACCAAGGACGGCGCAGGCCAACTCGACACCCTCTCAGGCACTCACAGGTAGCACAGGGCGCAGCTCCTAGGCCTGGGAGCCCACCCTTCTCTAGAACCTGCCCCCTGCCCAGTGTTCACAGGGCAGACACTCTCTGCTGTCATACTGGGGATGGCAGCTGGCTGCTGGAGCCTCAGACAAGCCCCTTCCCCGCCCACCCCAATGCAGAGACGCCAGACACCCAGCATCACAGCCCCGGCCAGCAAGTCCCCTGGAGAACTCAGGACAGACACAGTCACACCCAGAACACAGCACCCTGGAGGAGAGCAAGCAGTAAAAGGAGATCCACCCTGACCTTGGCCCTGCACTCCCGTCTCATTACGAGCAGCTGGCGTGACGGTGGCAGGGGTCTGGGGCTGCCTCTGGGAGGCTAAGGCCTGTACCCCTGCCTGGTGCTGCCCCCAGGACACAGTAGAGACTACAGGTGGCTGGCACATGTAACCTGGCCACATGTGAGCCCTGGACACGACAGCACCCACCACAGCCGGGAGGCTGGGCAGTGGACTAAGGTACGCAGCAAGGGGGGAGGCTGCTCCCCAGAGCACACAGGAAGAGCAAACGATGGCCGGCCACGTGGGCGAGACGGACAAACAGCCCGCAGGGACGCTGCCTTCTCCCCACTAAGGTGCTGTACCAGCCCCTGCTCCCAGCAGGGTACGTCGTGGGAGCCTTGACAAGACAACCCTTGGTGCCGAGAGGTCACAGCAGAATTACCAGGGCCGCGAACGCATCGAGCACCTTAATCCAATTCCTCAGAGAGCGAAGCGGATTAGGCAGAGGCTGCGGCCAGTTCCCAGGGGTGGAGAGCTGAGCCCCCGTGCCCAGCACCCCTTCCTGAGCCCACAACGACCCGAACCTTGTGGATCTCGTCCTTGAGCTCCTCGTCAGTCTGCTCAGCTTCTGGATGGAAGAGACGCCGCTGGAGACCGGCCTGAAAAGCCGGCTCCTGGGCAGAGCCGCTGGGAGGGGGACCCGGTACCTGAGTAATCCACGATGTGGGTGGGCACCTTCTCCGGGGTGACGTCTGCGGGGATGGTGATCTCCTCTGCCCGGGGAGGGACCTGCAACAGGCCCGGGCAGGGCTGACCAGGCGACCCCGCGGCGTCGCGCCCGCAGTCCCTCCCCGCGCAGCCGGCGCCCCGCTCCGACGCGCCGGCCTCTCACCTCCTCGGGGAACTCCTCGCCCACCAGCGACAGGATCAGCGACGTCTTCCCCACCTGGGCTGCGCGGGGCGGGGCGGTCAGCGCGGGACGGCCACGCTCAGGGCGCCCCGTCCGCACCGGCCCGCGGCCCGGCCCCCGCAGCCCCGAGCCCCGCGACCCGGCGCCTACCCTCGCCCAGCAGCAGGATGCGCACGTCCCGCCTCATGGCTGCCGCCCGGAGTCGCACCGCGACCCCGACCTGGCCCGGACCGGGTGCTCCGCCCTCTGCCCGTCCCCTCGCGCGCGCACTTCCGGCCTCCGCTCCGCGCTTCCGGTTCCCACCGCGCAGCCGCACCAGCGAGCCGGGCGGGCCAGAGGGGCCGGGCTGCGCTGCGGCGCCACCGCGTGGGCGCGCCGGGCACCGCGGGCTCGGTGCGCACAGGACGGGCCGGGCAGGTGGAGCGCCTCCGCGGGAGACCGAGGGCAGGTTCAGGGGTGGGGCGCAGGCTGAGCTGGGCCCACGAGTTAACGGCGGACTTCCAATGCAGCGGTGCAGTAGTAAAACAATAAATGCACACGTTTATTTAACCTACAGGTGGAAACATTAAAAACTCCTTAGGTGAAAAGCCAACAGGTATTTTAAGTATCTTCAAGTTGCCCAAATTCACAACAGCTTGGTCCTGACGATTTACACGGAGTCCTGGCCTGTCCCAGCCATCCTGTCCTGACACGAGGCCATCGACAATCCGGCTTCTGGGCCAAACCTCTGTCGAGGTGCCTGGTGTGGCCCGGAGCAGCCGACACTGTGGTCTGCAGCCCAGTGGCTGGCGACCTCCCACACCAGGATCTCGTTGTGGGCCACTGTGAAGAGCAGCCTGGCGGACGGGGTGAACCTGCACAGGTGAACCGCATCGCCATGGCCGGCGAAGTCCTGGGCAGTCCCCAGCGCGCAGTCCACCAGCCTCAGCATGCACTCTGCGGGCAGACAGCACAGGGTGGCCGGGGCCAGGTGGCCCACGGGCATGGGGGAGCCTGTGCTGATGGGTCAGGGCTGTGCTACCCGCAGCCCAGGGCCTGCTGCAGCTGGGACACGGTCAGCAGAGCTGAGGGTGCCCATCAGAGCCAAGGTGTCTCCCACCCGGAGCCTGCGAGTCCCTCCTTGGAGTCCTGCTGCTCCTCCACTCAGGCCCCCGTGCTGGGCCCCATGTTCGGCACCTCACTCGCAGCTCCTGGTCCTGGCATCCCTGACCCACTCCAAGCCCGAGGCACGGAGGTGAGGCGCATGTCTCGAAGGGGGGCACAGGTGAGCCCTCTCAGTCCCACCCCAGACAGCCCGAGTCCACACCCACCAGCACTTACCAGCGAAGCCAATGGCCATGAGGTGGGCCCCCGGGGACAGGCTCAGGGATATGGCAAAGAAAGGCAGCGATATCCTCTCCACCACCTGTGGGCAGCACGCAGGAGGCTCTGGGGCCTCTGGGCTCAGGGTCACTCCAGGCTCCCCTGCCCTGGGACCCTCCCTCCACGACCCTGGGTCCTGGGGCTCCAGTGCCAGGCGGGCAGGGTGTGCGCACCTGCTTCTGGCGGAGGCTGTAGACGATCACCTCCTTGTGCACACCAAGGCCCACGTGCACCAGCAGCAGCCTGTCCCAGGGACAGAAGGCAGCGAGGGCGGGCAGCAGGTGGCCCTGTGTCTGTGGGGAGGTGCAGTAGGCTGTGGGTGGGGGCAGCACTGTCCCCACCCACAGCACCACTGGGATCGTCTTACCTCCAGGGCAGCAGTCATTGGGAAACTCAGCCAGTCTAGGAGCTCACAGTGGTTCCACCGCCAGTCGGAGGCCCAGACGCTGACCCGCCGGTCCCCGCTGGCAGCCAGCCACAGGTCCGTGCCCTGGACCCCTAAGTCTCCATACTGGTGGGGTGAGGTCTGAGAGGTCCCTTCTGCCCAGCTCTGCCCCACCCATGTGCCAGCACCCCAACCCCCACCCCAGCTCTGGAGGCCGCCTCACCTCTTTCCTTGTGACCTGGATAGTGGAGATCGGGGCACCCCGGTGGTCGCTCAGCACACGGAAGGTCATCCCCGTGCAAGGGCGGCTCACAGCCACCAGCCCATCCTTGTCTCCAGAGAGGACGGTCTGACCTGGGCCGGGTGGGGACCATGCCGTCACCCCGTGAGCCCCCAGCCTGGAGAGCTGACCTGGGCCAGGTGGGGAAGGTGGCATCACCTACACGCCTAACTCCTCACCGTCAGTGGAGAAGGCGACAGCCGTCAGCGCGGACGGGTGAGGGCGCATCTTCAGCTCCAAGGCTGTCCGGGAGACGCTGAAGAGGCGCAGCGTGCCGTCGCCGTAGCCCGCCGCCAGCCGCTGCTGCTCTGGGCGTCCACAGGATGGGGGGCTCCATGCAAGGCAGAGGCAACTCTGGGGGCCCAAGGCGGGGAACATCAGCCCTCCCCCAGGGAGGGGCCAATGTGGGCACACCGCGAGGCCAGAGGAGGACTCAGCTTCCTGAGCCTTCAGCACACAGGGGGCACCGAGCATGCACCCCCAGGCCCCGCACACCACCTACCTGGTTCAGCACCTGGAACTGGATGACCAGCTCCAGGCTGGCCAGGGACCACACCCGCACACTCCCATCCTCACCGCAGGTGGCACAGTGGGACTCACTGGGGCTGAAGACCACTTCATTCACCTGCGGAACCCACAGCTGGGCTGAGGGGCACCCAGCTAGCCCTACCTGAGCCCGCATGGCCCTTGGCCAGAGGAAGGGACACAGGTCTTTCCCATCCCAGCCTCCAGGGCCAGGATGTCCAGATAAGAGCGTCTGTCCCCGCCCAGGCCACGCAGCCCCAGCCAGCTCCATATGTAAGGAAACACTCCTGACCTCCACGCAATCCCCACCAGACCTAGGCGAATCCCAAGCAAAAGCAGCCCACCCGTCGGTCAAACTGGGTGGGATTCCACAAAGCTGTTCTGATAGCATCTAATATGCGGCAACGTGACCATGTGTCCCTAGACGGCTGCAGACTGAAGGTCAAAAGCACAAAAAGACACCCTAGCTGTATCCAGCTGTCCCGTTGGTGGTGGTCGTATCGTGGAGTTTTTTTCCTGAGATTGTTGTGTGCACACCAGGGGAAAAGCGGATGGGTCACTACATAGGCACTGCTGAGAACCGGGATACTCGGTGCAGGAGAAAGGAGATACCAAACAGCAATGATGTTAGACAAAACAACCTAGTACTGAATTGGAATTTCAAGTGTTAGTGTGAACACAACGCATTTCATCTTTAAAAAAATTACTTGGGCCGGGCGCGGTGGCTCACGCCTGTAATCCTAGCTCTCTGGGAGGCTGAGGCGGGCGGATTGTTTGAGCTCAGGAGTTCGAAAGACCCCGTCTCTACTAAAAATAGAAATTAATCAGACAACTAAAAATATATAGAAAAAATTAGCTGGGCATGGTGGCACATGCCTGTAGTCCCAGCTACTCGGGAGGCTGAGGCAGGAGGATCGCTTGAGCCCAGGAGGTTGAGGTTGCTGTGAGCTAGGCTGACGCCATGCCACTCTAGCCCGGGCAACACAGTGAGACTCTGTCTTAAAAAAAAAAAAAAAAATTACTTGGCTCAGTTCAGCTGAGTGGTAATGGCCCCTGGGACTTGGACCAGGACCTCTAAGTCCATTTCCCACTGGAGGGGCCCCAGGCTCTGCAAAGACTCAGCCAAGTCCAGTATTGGGCAGACCTGCACAGCCTGAGCCCATTGTCACAGCACTGGGAAGCCACCAGTGGCCACCAGCTCAGGTCAAGGACTCAGGACTCAAATTTCCATGGCCTGGTGTGTAGAAAAACAAAAGGTGGTCTGTCCACACAGTGGAGTGTGATTCAGCCACAGAGCAATGAGGCGCTGATGCGTGCCACCACGTGGTGGACCTGGGAAACACGTGCTCAGGGAGAGGAGACGGAGGAGTGCATGCGTGTGGAATGTACAGGATGCGTCAAATCCATGGGGACGGGAGGCGAATCGGTGGTTGCCAGGGGCCGGCAAATGGGATGAAAATGCTCTAAAATTGAGTGTGGTGAAGGTTGCACAACTTTGTTGAAGAAACTAAAAGCCATTGACTTTAAATCGACCAAGTGTGTGGTGTGTAAATTATATCGCAATAGGTCGACCACCAAAGATAAAAGATAAATAATCCTAGCTCATTTCAAACTCAAATTTCTACCATTACATTCAAATAAATAAACACAGATTCCTAAAAAAAATAAAGCGTCACCTCAGCCTCCCACTGAAGACAGGATTCTATGAGCAGCAAAGGAAACAATGAGCCACAGGGAGGTGGAACCCAGACAACGTGCACGGACAGTTCTTAAACACACTCGAACAGGAAAACTCAGCCGGGCACAGTGGTGGCGCCTGTGATCCCAGCACTTTGGGAGGCTGAGGCAGGAGGATCACTTGAGCCCAGGAGGTGGAGGCTGTCGTGAGCTGTGATCATTCCACTGCACTCCAGCCTGGGCGACAGAGTGAGACCCTGTCTCAACAGAAAAAGTGACTCACTGCTGCTGTTGCTAGGTGCTGGGGGCCAATCCAATACTTGGCAACCTGGTCCCATGGGGCAAAAATCCAGCTCCTCTCCTGCCACTCCGACCCCAGCTGTGCCTCGGGAGACCGAGAGCTGCTGAGGCTGCGTCTCCCCAAGGCTGGGCAGCAAGAGAGGAACCAGGGACTCAGGCCACCCTCTGCAGCCCCACAGAAGCCACGGGCCCAGGGGAACCGTCACTCAGCTGCCAGCGGCCCACGTGCTCCAGGGAGACAGCTCCGCCACCAGGGGGCAGCGGGACCGGCCCAGCCGTGACCTAGACCCGACTAGAACCTGGCCCGGACATGACCAGAGCCTGACCAGAACCTGGTCCAGCCCTGAGCCACACCCGGCCAGAACCTGTCCCACAGGACCGCATCAGCAAGGCCAGTCTGTGGAGGTGCAGAGACGGACAACGTCTCCCCAGCGAGTATGTATGTTACTGGGGACAGAAAGTGACGGGGAGGACGGGAAGGAGCTAGAGACCTGCGCGGTGGGCTGTGGGACTCCCTCACGTGGACACTCACAGGACCCCGTGCCAGACCACGGATGACATCCAGGGATCCACGTGCATCCGGGAGTCCCTGTCCTGGGAATGCCTGAAGCAGTTACTTGTGAGCCGCTGAGACGGCCAGACGCGGAAACCCCAGTGGGCGGGGCCGGAGGTGGCCGGCAGGGAGGGTGCCGCAGACACTTGCCTCCCTGCCTCGCCCAGGCTGGCAACCCCAAGACGTCTTCCGCACGGCCCCAGCGGCCTCACCTTGCTCCTGTGGCCGCTGACGAGGCGGGTGCTGGCGCCTTCGGCCCAGCTGACGTACCAGAGCGTGCCGGCCGTGGTGCCCACCACGCCCATGTCCATGCTGTCATCGAAGCTGGCGCTCACGACACCCCCGTCCAGGCTGAGCTCGTGCTCCATGAACACAGAACCAGACCTGCGGGTGGGGGAGCAGCAGACAGCAGGTCTCCAGGCAGGTCGTGGAGCCCGGCAGTGCTCTCCGGGCTGGGGGGCTTCTGGGCCTGCCCCCAGCCAGGGTCTGTGCCCTGTGGGCCCAGATCACGTCCAAGCACGTCCCCACGGAGGGGCCGGCTGAGGACACCACCAGAGGGCAGTGTGCTGGCTTGTGGGCTCCCAGTCAGGGACACCTGCACCAGTCTGCGGCCGGGCCACGCGGGGACAGGGCGGAGTGGAGGCCCCAGGGCAGCCCACCTGGCACTCCTGAGTCTCAGCTCTGGCACGGTCCCCACGGCCCACAGGCGCAGACGCCTCGCACCGCTGCCACTGATCAGCCTGGAGCCCGAGCACAGCAGCACGCCTGGGGGCAGCAAGGGGCCTGAGCGGCCTTCTCCAGACGCCCCGGGCCACAGGATGGCCTGGAGCCCGGGACTCGAGACCAGATCCCACTGCCCCGGCTGGGACGACAGTCCTGAGCCATCAAGAAACCACAAGGCCTCGGCTGGGCACCCACCAATCTCGCCGTCGTCCGCCTCCCAGGCCAGGAAGCAGCGGCCTGCACGTGCGTCCCAGACACAGACCTGGCCAGAGCTGGAGCCGCAGTAGAGCAGGGGGAGGGGCCCATAGCAGAGCGAGGTCAGCTCGCCCGCCCCCACTGCCTCGGGGACTAGTTCTCGGTGCACCTGGCAGGGCATGAGGGTGGCCACGGGTCAGCGATGTTCTGGGGGCCCAGTCAGACTTCATCCCCCAAAACCGCCTCCGAACTTGAGCACCTGACCCGGTGGCCCAGCACCTGGAGGCTGATGTCCGCCTCATGCTGCTGCAAGAGCCAGAAGCTGACGGCACCCTGCCCCAAGCACGCGAGCTGGTCGGCGTCCCAGGGGTTGAAGGCCACGCCGTGCACCGGCTCCAGGAGGCGGGTGGAGCACACGAGGTCGTAGGTGGCCGTGCTCCACAGGGCAAGGGTGCCGTCGCCGCAGTCCCCTGGGGAGTCCCATGGGCACCGTGTCAGAGACACGGGTCCAGCCTCCCAGGGGTCCCAGAGAAGCTCCCACCCTCCGACTGCCCCGCCAGCTGACCCAGCGTGACCAGGAGTCTGTCGTCCGGCGAGAAGGCCAGGGCCTGGACGGCGGCGTCGTGGTGAGAAAGGAGGTGCTGGCAGAGGCCCCCAGACACGTCCCAGACGCGGATCTGACAGTGGGCAGCCGCACGGCCGCGGCCCGAGGCAGAAACCAGGACCTGGCAGCAGGAAGGCAGGCGGTCGGAGGGCAGGGCATGGCCAGCTGGCCCCCGGCTCTGTGTGGAGGAGGCGGGGTTGCCTGTGCTGCCTCTGGTAGCAAGAGCCAGCAGCGGCCCAGGAGCCGGCCCACGGCACATGGTGACCTGGCGTGGAGGTGGCCGACCCAAGGGGGGCACCTGGGCGTCGTGGCTGAGGGCCAGCGTGGAGATCTCCTCGGGGTGGCCGAGCCAGTGCTGCTGGGCGCCGGAGTGCAGGTCCTCCACCACTACCAGGCGGCCGCACGTGTAGGCGAAGAAGCCTGTGGGCAGGGAGGTGGGCGCCTGGAGGCCGTGCCAGGGCAAGGGTCTTGAGAGGTCACGTCGTCCCCCTCACCTAGCAGGCACGAGGCTCACAGGCTAGGTGCGCTAGGACACTGGGAGAACACAGCGCCCCCAACTGATGGCTGCGGCTGGTCTGGCCCCTGGGCCCAGCCTCAGTGGGCAGAGTGGGCCCCGCCCAGCGGCTTCTTGGCTGGGTGCAGAGCAGGGCCTGGCTCCCACCTGTGTCTGGCCTCCAGACCATGTTGGCCCGCCCGCTCCCGCTGTAGCCCAGGACGGCCTTCAGACGCAGATGCGCGCTGCTGGCGGCGGGGGAGGAGACGCTCTGCAAGAAAGCAGGCCTGGCGCTGGTGCCCGGCCCGGCCTGGGCCCCGGAGCCTGCACTCGGGCGGCTGCCGGGGGCACACCCAGGCCAGCGGGGAGGGCAGCTGGGACGGGACAGGGAAGCAGGGTGGGAGGCTGGAGCCAGGGAGGGGCACAAGGCCAGGGCTCTCAGGGAGGGCACCTGCCAGGTGAGGGGAGTAGGCGGCGTCTGTAGGACGCTGGCGTGATGGCAGGCGCCTGGGTGCAGGGCGGAGGGGTGACAGGTCCCGGAGGCCCAGAGCACTGTCTGTTTTGGAGACCAAAGACAGCCCTGGGACCCCAGGGAACGTGGAGAAGGCCCCACACCCACTGGGGAGAAGAGGGCTCCTGGAAGCCACCCCGCCTCAGGGTGGGGGCCGCGGCAGACCTTGGCAGGTGTCGTGTGGGATGCCGGGAAGTGCTCGTAGGAACCCAGGTGGGCGCTGGGCTGGGCAGCCCCCTTCCTGGTGCTCCGCATACCTGGCAGGGAGGAGGAGAAACCGCATGACGTGGAACCGCCCGGCAACCCTTCAGAGACGCCCCACCGCAGTCACCCCGCCTTGCTGGGCAGGGAGAACTGCATACAGGTGAGCTGCGTCCCACCCCCACGGGGACCCCATACTCGCCGTGCACCCTGGAGGCGGCCTTGCCTCACTGTAGGGACACCCCGCCTATCGGGGCAGCCCCGGCCCCTTCACTGGGATGCCACCCCGTCACCAGTGGGTCCTCCCTGCCCTCCACTACTCACTGGGGCAGCCGCGGGGAGAGGCCGGCATGGCCAGCTCCCGGGAGCCACCTGCAGCCCCCCAGACCCCATCTCCAGCCGCGCCGGCCTCCTCCTCCAGCACGGGTGGGCCTGGGGCCTGGCGAAGCCCCTCGGGGCTATGGCTTTTCTCGCAGGGTCCTTCGTCATCTGACATGGAGAGTGCGCCTACAGGGCAGTGGGAAGAAAACAGGAGCCCCAGTCCCTGACCCCACCCGTGCCTCCACCAGCGGGAGGTGACGGCACCCACACCCCAGAGCTGGACATGCACAGGTGCACGCCGCAGTTTAGCCCCGTGATCTCCAGGACCCCCCAGGACCTCACACCTCGGGCCCCGTGCCCTCCCGGAACCCCCAGGACCCCTGCCCCTCACCATCGCCGCCCTCGAGGGGCCCGGCATGGACGCCTGGCCGCGGTGGGGGGGCCTGCCATGGCACAGGCACCTGTGGCCGAGGGAGCCCGCTGGCCCCAGATGCTGCGTCCTCCAGCTGTCGTGGGCCCGGGCCTAGGGATGAAGGAGCCACGCTCAGGGCCAAGGCCGGCACGGGGGAGTGGCCAGGCTCCCCAGCTTGGGAAAGGCAGGAGGGCCACAAGGCCCAAGGTGGCCACAGAACCAGCCCCAGGGGTCAGCACGACACCTGCCGGCATTTCCACACCCGCCCCCTCCAGCTGAGCACGGGCCACTCACCGGCCTCACAGGCTGGGGGGGCGCTGGACAAGCTCCGGTCACTGAAGGGGCAAGGAGGAGATGTCAGGGGGCCCAGCAGGAGGCCTGGGCAGACACAGTCCAGGACAGACACTTGCCTCTCAGAGGTGGCCACGATGTCCCAGAGGAAGATGGCATCCCCCACGCTGAGGACCTGCTGCTGGTCGGGGGTGAAGGCCACAGCCTGCACGGGCTCTGAGTGGCCGATGTACACCTGGGGGCAAACAGGTGTCACGTGCAGGGACCCGAGGTGTGGCTGTGGACACTGTGCTCGCCACACCCAGGTCTGGCACGAGCCCCAGACCCGCGGGACTGGGCAGAGCAAGAGGCGCCATGCAGCCCTGGGTCCCAGCAGGCAGAGGGTCCCGGGGGTCGCCCTCCACTCCCCATCCCCCACACACCTGGGAGCCGGGGCTGCGCTGTGCCGAGTAGTCCCACACGGTGACGGTCCGGCCGGCGGCCGTCAGCAGCAAGCGGGCGTCCTCGCTGAGGGCCAGGGAGGGGCAGGCCACGGGGTGGACGCCGCACAGCTGCGACAGAGAGCTCTTGCGGGGCCGGCCAGCGGCCCAGAAGCCTCCCCTCCTGGCCGGGTGTGGCGAGGCAGCCCCAGCCCCGCGGAAGGGCTGCAGGCACAGGGACGCAGGAAAGGGAAGGGCAGGCTGGGGCCGTAGCTCACCTCCCGGACAGTGCGCCCTGACATGGCATCCAGCACCACGACTCTGCCGGACGACATGGACACCAGCAGGTGGCCCAGGGATGTGGGGCCGAAGCAGACGGCCATGGCGGAGTCCAGGTCCGGGGTGCTGACGTCGACCCGCAGCAGCTGGAGGGACAGCAGGTGGCCGTGGGTCTGGACCTCCCAGCAGACCCAGTGCCACCCAGAGCCAGGCTCGGGAGGGAGGCGGCCTTGGGGACGCTCACCTGACACCCACAGCACCTGCCCTCCCCTGGGGGAGCCAGGCCGGCCCCAGCGCCACCGCGGCTGAGCTGCCCTCTGTGCCCAGGAGCTGCAATGGCTCCCGGGTCCCGCTGCTGAGCGACCGCGGCCTCCCGCCTGCCTCGGCCCCTCGTGCCCCCCACAGGCTGGGGAGGGCCTCGCGGCAGCCAGAATGAAGAATACGGACCCGGCTCCTCCGCCAGCCTGGCCAGGCCCACCCAGCCCGGAGCGGGAGGTCCCGCTGACTCACCTCGTCCAGGGAGGCCGGGTCCATGACGGTCACCGTGCACTTGGAGGGGCCCACGAAGGCCAGCAGGCGGCTGTCCCCGCTGACCGCCAGGGTGCTGAGGCTCGGGTGGGCATCCGGGCACACCACGTCGGCTGCGGCACACAGGGCGGGGGTCAGCTGGGTTGGGGGGGCCTGCTGCGCCCTTCAGCAAACACCAGCCAGGGAAGCAGGTCCCTCGGCATCCACAGGGCGTGGGCGTAGGAGCCAGATGCCGCCAAGCACCAGGTACCACCAGGGGTTCTGGGAGTCCTTGTGGGTGAGGAGTGACTACTGGCCGGCCGAGTCTCGGTGGCCGTGGACAGAGCAGATGCGCTTAGGCTGGGCCTGACCCCACCTGCTGTCTTGGCGCTAGGGCCCTGCAGCTCCTCCAGGGCACAGAGCTCAGCGAGCCTCTGGCTTTGGGGGGCTGGAGAGCCCTGAAACCACACTCTCCCCTGGGTCTGGACGAGGCTACTGAAGGCAGCTGCAGAGCCCCACACAGGACTTGGCCAGCGGACTAGGGCCCGAGCCCCGAGTTTCACAGATCCAGGGCCACCCCAGCCCTCGGAGATGGGCCTGACCTGCCACACGCCGAACGCGGCACTGGGGCCCGGCGCAGCTGTACTGGGCCAGGCTGCCCTGAGAACAGGAGCTGAACAGGAGGTTGCCGTCGGGAGTGACAGCCAGGCCCGTGATGGCTCCTCGGGGACACCTGCGGCAGACATGGATGGCCCCTGGCCTCAGCCCTGGGAGCCACACTGTTCCCAGCCCTCCAGCCACCTGGCCTGGCTTTGGGCAGCACTGCCTTCCTGCAGGTGACCTCCCCTGCCCAGCGAACACGCCCCCAGGGATCCAACAACCGCCCCACCCTGGCTTCCACTGCGGGGTCTCTGTGCAGCCCAGGCCCCCGAGGACTGGTGGCTGGCAAGGCACCCACGTGTGCTCCACCAGGACCTCGGCGGCCTCCAGGCTGAAGGCGCGGACGGCCCCGCTGCTGAAGCCACAGAAGAAGGCTGGCCGCGTGGGGTGGAAGGTGATGGCGCACGGGGCCTCGCTGGGTGACGTGAAGTCATAGAGCTGCAGGGCAGAGGCTGGCGAGGAGGGGGCGGGGGCCACGAGAGCCCCGGGGGTGAGGGCTCTCCGGGGGGGCCCCCAGGGCATGGCCTCGGGCCCCCTCGCCCTCCCTGCCCCCACCACGCCCCACCTGTCGCAGGGTGACCAGGTCCCAGACACGGACAGTGCGGTCCTGGGACACGGTGGCCAGCTGCCCACGGCTCCGCTCCGTGGAGAAAGCCAACACCGGGGCCGTGTGGGCGCGGGCCAGCACGCTGTACTCCCGTGACGCGACGTCCAGGAAGCCCAGGTAGCCCGTGGAGGTGGCAGACAGCACGCGAAAACCGTTGGGGCTGACGCAAACGGAGCTGACGGGGCCCTCGTGCTCTGTGGGTGGGAGGGTCACCAGAGCTGACCCCAGGCAGTTCCCTGCTGCTCGGGCATCTGGGTCCCCAAGACACAGACAGATCCATTTCCTCCTTCTGGACCCCACAGGCTGGGAGAGGCAGCTCCCTGAGACCACCGCTCCAGGCCAGGCGGGGCCCAGGGCTGTGAGGGGGCCTTGCCCACCACCTGCTGCTCCCGGCCGTGTGTGAAGCCAGCGCACAGGCAGTCCTGGCAGTGGTGGGCCCTGGGCTCGGGGCACAGCCCCTTGGCCTTGTGACGCCCTGTCCAGCCCAGGCCCTGCCCCCACTCCACACGAGCCCCCCAGCGGATGCTCCCCCAGGCCAAGAGCAGATGCAGCCTCACCCGCCTCCAGGAGCACCGAGGAGAAGTCCAGGGGCCAGAGCCGCAGGTAGCCGTCCTCGGAGCCCACGGCGCACAGGGCCGGGGACATGCTGAGGCTGCTGATGGCGATGCCGGGGCCTGGGGGGCCGGGGGGAGGTCAGTGCCTCAGCATCGATGCCACCCCCCGACGCAGGGGGCACCCCTACCTGAGCCAAGGGTCTGCTTCTGTGGCTGGGGGCCGCTGGAGGTCTGCGTGGGCAGCAGGCAGCGGGCGTGCCGCACGGCCCTGCGCTGGGGGTCGATCTCCAGGACGTGGCCGCTGCGGCTGCACACGTACCTGCCCCCAGGAGGCACAGGTGAGGTGGGGTCCAGCGGGGGGCGGGGCGGGGCCCCGAGCTGGCGGGGGGAGGGCAGGGCTCACAGCATTCGGGCCGAGGACTCCTGGCAGCCGTCCTGGGCCTGCTGGAAGGCCAGGTCGGTGAACTGCAGCGCACGGTGCTCCCCAAGGTCCACGGCGCAGGAGCGCAGCACCCCGCCGCGCAGCCGCCACAGCCGCACGCTGCCCTGCCCGCACGATGCCATCCTGCGAGTGTGCAAGCCACAGTGAGCGTGCCCAGGGCCCTCGACCCCTCGAGACAGACACGCACGTCCCCAGGCTGTGACTGAGGGCAGGGGACAGGGGCTCAGCCCCCACCCCGGGCACGGGCGCCCCCCAGACACCGCAGACGGGCTGGCCACGCCACGCACCTGGTTCCATCAAAGGAGGCGACTCGGAAAGCTTGGACGTCGAAGTCAGTGCGCACCTTCGCGAGAACGGCTACCTTGTCGCCGAGGCCCGCCGGGCCTGTGCCCCAGGCCACCACCACCTGCGACAAGCCCACCCTGAGCTCCAGGGCGCAGATGCCCCGCCCTGCGTGTCCTCCCGCCCTGCGCGTCCTCCCGCCTCGCTGGGGTTCCAGCTGCCCACAGCAGGCGGCGGCTGCTCTCTGGCGGAAGTCAGCCTCTGCGAGCTCAGGCTGCTCTGGTGAAGGAGACTGGCCTGTGCCCTGAGACGCGGCCGGCTCTGGGGCGTCCACAGAAACCAGCAACACTGGGCGCGCAGCCCCACCGGCAGAGACAGGAAGTGCAACGACCCCCAAGGAGGAAGGCAGGTAAGGATCTAAGAGGCGTCCCCATGGCAACACAAGAGGATGCTGCAGCACTGCCCAGACGCCATGGAGTCCCGCGCACAGGTCCACTTCAGAGGTGCTGCCGTGCAAAGACCCCATCTTACCACCGGACACACCACCAGAGAGAACAGGCCAGTCGTTCAAACACCAGCTTAAAGCAACGACTGCCACGTAAGGACCGAAAAGCTCAAGTGTGAGGTGCGAGCCACGCGGTTCTTTCCCGTGGCGCTGGAACGTACACCGGGGCGCAGAGCCCAGGTACACAGGGCCGGCATTTCCAGAGTCGTTTGGGCTTTTTAAAATTTTTCTCCTTTTTTCCCCCCAGAGATCCTATTTCCAATCAAAATTTCTGCCCATAACCCGTCGGATCCAACGGACTTTTTTTTAAAACGAAGAACCCACATTGCTTTAATAAACAGAAACGCACAAAGGTACGTTTTTAGAAAAGGACTCGGCTGGCGCTCCCCGCACACTGCCCCCGCCCCGGGCCAGGGCCCTGTTACCGTCCTCCCGTGGCAGTCCTTGCCGACACCGCAGAGAAGGGCCCCGCTGTCGGAGAAGCTGTGGACGCGGAGGAGGCGGTTAGCGTCGCCCGGGCTGTCCCTCGCCCCCAGCGTGCACACCCCGTGCCCACCTGAGGGCGCTGACTGCGTGCATCGGGCTCCGGAGCAGGGACAGGCACGCCCCGGTCTGGAAGTCCCAGAGCCGCACCACGCAGGGGGGCCGCGCCTGGGCCGAGGCCAGCAGCAGGCTGCCCCCGTCCAGCGCCAGGGCAGAGACCTGGGGAGGCGGAGGCTGAGGGGAGCGCGAGGCCGGGCCCCGCCTCTCGGGAAAGCCCCGCCTCTCGGGAAAGCCCCGCCTGGGCTGCTCTGCGGCAGTGCCGGTGTTCTGCAGGCGTGCTAGCCTGGCCCGGCGGCACCCACCTTGTCCGTGTGGCCGAGGAGGACGCGCTGCTCCCCCGAGTCGACGTGCAGGACAACGACGGCCGCGTGGCAGGGGTAGACGACAGCCGCCCCGTCCTTGGTCCACAGGGCCTGGCACGGGGGCCGGGCTGACGTCACCAGCGGTGCCCCAGCCCCTCCCTCCTGGTGGCCTGGAGTCAGCGTCCTCTCCCCCAAGCCCAGGTGGCAGCCAGGCACACACACCTGAACACGGTCACCCAGGGGCAGGAGAGCGTGCACGCCCGCCCCACCCCGGACACGCACGAGTCAGCAGGATGCAGGCGCGCAAAGAAGGGCCAACGCACATGCACACGCACGTCCCCCGAGCCCCGCTCCAGGGCAGGAAACCCTGGGCTTTGGGTAACAAAAGACCAAACGGCCCCCAAAGGCTCAGAGCCTGCATCCAGGAGGGCCTGGCAGGCGCCCAGGCTGTGGGGAGCGGGAGGCAAGGCCACCCCTTCTCCAAGTGGGGCTCTTCCTCCCCTGGAACACCATCACGGACCCAAGGTCACACCCACGACCTGGCCCCACGTGGCTGGACCGTGCTTGTCAGAAACTACAGACGTCAGTGAGAGCATTTTAACCGGCACCTTAACCGACCCCTGGGGCTCCGTCAAGCCAACAGGAGACACCTATGGCCTCGGAAGCCCAGGTGGTCCAGGCGGTAACGCACAGACGTGCGCAGGGGGGCATCCGAGGACCAAGGGAAACGAGCAAAGTCTTCGGGGGAAAGGGCCCTGCACCCTGAGGGAGCTGGGGACCCACGCAGCCGCCTCGGGGCTACACGGGGTCTTCCCGGACACTCACGCTACCCAGCAAGAGTCGTCCTGGACGCGGTGTGGGACCCTCACCCATTTGGTGCTATGGCCCCCAAAGCCGATGACCCCCTTGAGCCTCAGGATTGGGTCCGGGAGGAAGTGCTGCAACGGTGAACGCAGGTGAGTTGCGGGAGGGCACAGCCCCCGCCCCGCCCAGCGCTGGGCCCTGCCTCTCAGGAAGGCCCCACATGGGCTGCTCCGTGGTATGAAACTGCCGGGATCCGGGGACCCCAGGTCCTGCCCCCACCTGGCACCCAAGGCCCCCACGGACGACCTGGGGCTGGGGCGTCAGATACAGTTGGGGGCTGAGCACAAGCTCTTCCTTACTCTTTGTCGAGAGAGATTCTTGCCCGAAGATGCCTCGTGCCAGCTCTGCTTTCTGCCGGGAGGCTGATGACAGGAGACCATCAGAGGACGGTCTGTTCCGACGCAGCTCGTGGCAGGCACAGGCCGCGCACCATGCCCAGCCCTGCCTGCTCTGGGATGGGCACTCACTTCTCGGGAGCCAGTGTCCTCGAGGGCCACGGGCACCACAGCTGACTCGTGAGCAAAAATGTGGACACTGTCTGGAGCCATGTCCACGTTGGCGGACTCCATCTGGGCCGAGGGCTCTCGGCTACGGACGCTGGAGATCTCCGAGCACTTGCAGGACAGGCTGACCTCTGGGAGGGGCCTGGGTGCCTCAGGGGCCTGGCAGGACCGTGGGGGTACAAGTGTCCGCCAGCACCCTGGGGCCACCATGTCCCAGCCCTGTCTCGCGGGGAGGCGGCACTCACGGCTGTGGGGCTGGGTGTCTGGACCGTGGGGGACACGCTGTCCTGTGTGGGTTTGCTGACGGCCACCAGGCAGGGAAGAAGCCGTGGCACAGGGCCCGGGGGGACTGCAATGGAGCCAAGAGCCCCAGTAACTGGCTGAGCAGTGCACAAGGTGCCTGGGAGGAGGCCGCGAGGCACTGGCCGGGGAGGCCACAAACATTCCCCGGCCTCCCCTGCTCTGCAGGGGAGAAGCCACACCAACACTGCTGCTCAACTCCACCCCAGCCCTGCGACGCCCCCTTTTCCAGCTCAGAAGCTTAGGACCCCCCAGGCACCCTGTGAACAGACCTCCCACATGGTTTTGGGAGTTTGCATGCCACGGGCTTGCCCTGGTCCCTGCGCCTGCCTGCGAGCTGCTCTGGGGACATGCCGCTGCAACTCCAACACCACTGGGTCCCCTCCCAATCCTCCCCTCCCACCAAGCTGCACGTGCCTGCAGGCCTGAACCTAGGTCCACTCTGACCCCAGGCCCACCTGCCTCTGAAGAAGAACAGCTCTTCTGAACCAGCCCTGGAGGCACCTCCATGCTGTCACGTGGAAATCTAGGCAGGTGGATGAAGAGTCAACATCTGGGGGCCCAGGGCCCACCTGCCCTCTGCGCATTCGAGGTCTCCCTTGAGAGGGGCCGAGCCACTCACCGGACGTGGATATAGCGGTTGTACCAACTCTCCCCCTTGGGCACTGGGAACGCCATCTCTCGAGGCACAGGAGTGACGGGCAGCTTGGCCCTCTGGGCCCCAGTGACAGTGACAGCTGCAAGGAACAAGCTTATGCCAGATCAAGGGAAGCCTGTCCAACCACTTTTCCTGGGCCCGGGTGGGACTCAACACCAGGCGCCCACCACCTCCACCCCAGGGCTGCTGTGGCGGTGGGAGGCTCGGGCCTCCAGCTGCACTAAGCCGGAGCTCCCAGACCGCGTGGCACAGGCATCTTCATTACGTGCCGGGACTTGGGCCTCTGCCGCACTAACTTGGGGCGAGGAAGTGGAGACCAGCACAGAGGCTGGGAAGGCAGCCGGCTACCACTGAGCACAGGGTGTGCACGCGGCCCTCACCTGGGTCAAAGCACAGGTCACTGGTGTAGAGATTTCTGACCAGCAGGCTGGCGCACAATCTGACACTCTTGAGGTGGCTGTAGCTGCGGTTCAGGTAGAGCAGAAGGATGTCCTGCAGGTCGAGCTGCAGGAAGGTCCAGCGGGCGCCTGGGGGCGCCACACCCGCCAGGTCTGCAGGACGGGCACTCAGGGTCAGCACCTCCCCTCTTGACAGCCCGACTCCCACAGTTGTGACCCACGCCCCACCAGCTGTCGCTGTGACAGCTGGCCACAGCTGGCCACACGAGAGCCTGGCTGGGCCAGCACTATCGCCTCTGGGCCCCCAGGTTCAGTGTCACCTCTCCCGGAGGTCCTGGCCTCGAAGACAAAGGGGAACTGAAGCCATGTGGCTGTGGACTTGAACTCCTTGAACAGGCTGGAGAAAGACATGCGGATGACCTGGCTGTCCTGCAGGGCGGAGTGGCTTTGAGGAGACGCGGGGACGGGGCACGGGCCCCCTTATGCAGCCCGAGACCCGGGCTCCGTACCTCAGTGGACACGTCCAGGTGGATGACAAAGTGCTTGCTGGGCAGGGGCCGGAAGAGCACGTACAGGTACCGCCCCGTCAGCCCCAGGGACTGCGTGCCGGTCCTGGGGAGCTGGATGTAGCTGCCGGCCGAGACCGAGCCGCGGATGCGATACACGCTGCGCCTCAGGGTCTTGTCCTGGGGAGACGGCAGCCCGCGTCCACTGACGGGCCAGTGGCACCCCGAGAAGCACCGACCCGGTGACCCTCGGGCGGTGCGGGGATGTCCCCAGTAGACAGGAAGGGCGCTGGGCTCCTGCCGCCAGGTCCCCCGGCCCACGCACCGTGACCACGGCCACGTCCCCCTCCTTGGTGGACCGCTTCCACTCGTCCACCTTGAAGTGTCTGAAGACGTTGAGGAAGGGCTGCTGCCACGCTGCGGGGACGGGCGCCAGGGGTGAGGAGCCGGCCCCAGGGCGGGCCACCCAGTGTCGCCGCCAGCAACGCCAGCAGCAACACGGGCGGACGGCGGGCCCAGGCTGGGGCTCTGACCTCGGGGCCCAGGCAGGGCCGCTGCGCGCTCCGGCCGCCGCCCCCGGAACCCCTGGGAACCCCCGGACCTCCGAGACACCGCCCCGGCCCGCCCGGACTCCGGCTCGCCCCACCCCAGCCCGGCCGAACCCCTGGACCCGCGCGCGGCGCTACCCGGGGCCATGGCGCCCACGGCTTGAGCTTCCCGCCTCTGCTGCCGCGCCCCACGCAGGGCACGCAGCGCGGCGCCTAGCAACGGCCGCCTAGCAACGGCGCCACTTCCGCCGTCATGGCGGCGCCCGGGGACCGCGTGCACGCGCGGCGCCAAGACGCTTCGGGGCACCGGCCGGGCACCCGCCCCAGCTCAGGGCTGCTCCAAGACTCTCCGGCCGGGCCTGCGCTCTAGCGCCACCAGCTGTGGCACCCAGGGGCTCTTGCTGATTCTTCTGGGGCCCATCTGTAGATGGGCGCGCATCCCGCATTTGTGGGGCTGCACTTTGGTGAGGGGCTCCTCTCTGGATGCCTGCTGCTTTCCAGCCCTCTGGAGGCACCTGGCCAACACCCAGGCTCCTCCGGTGGCAGGCGGGCAAAATCACCCTGCTTCTCAACAGAGCACTGCCGTGCCCCACAGGTGCCCACAGGCTTTGGCTCCCACACTTGTCCCAGGTCAGCACACACTCCCAGACCTGTGGGACATCCTTGCCCAGACCTGCAGCCAGGTCTGGTGGATTCAGAGTGGGATCAGGCATTCTGAGACCTAGCCCCAGTGCTAGCGGCCTAGGACCCCATTCCATGGCATTATTTAACGTCGCTGGGCCTTGAGGCCTGGCTGTGGCACCAGGCAATGCCAACAGGAGAGGAAGACGAGTGGAGTCGGATGCGGCAGAGTCGGGGCCACAGACTTCCAAGCAAAGGGAGCCGGCCAAGGACCCCAGCCTCTGTCAGGACAGCTGGGTGAGGCACCAAGGGCCTGAGTTGGGCAGAGCGGCAGCCTCTGCTGGCTTGGGGGACCAGGCTGCAAGGGAAGGTGAGCTGGGCCCAGAGTCCCAGACTGGGGACTAGAGAACCCCTCCCCCACCCTCCCAAGTCAAAACCACTCTGAAAGGGCAGTTTCTCAACTTTATTAGACTGGAGCTCCTCCCTGCCAGCCCCAGGGGCTGGTCCCTGGGCAAAGTGAGCAGGGTTGAGGTCAGGCAGGTTTGGCCCCTGGCCCCCGGCAGCTTGGGACAGCAGGGCCAAGGAAACAACAGGTGCAAAAGTCCAAATGCTGGCACTTCAGGTGTGGCTGGCGCCCAGCCAGGCCGCAGCGGGCGTATGGGGCACCAAGGTCCTCTTCTGGCGAAGGGTCCACCGAGGCAGCATTCCTTCCCAGGCAGCCACTAGGAACAGCTCGTGATTCTAGCCAGGAACTGCTGCGCCCACCACTCGTCCAGGTCGATGGGCTCGAAGTCTGTGGGCAGAGCAGAAGGCTGGGCAGTGACGCTGCCCCCCAGACAGGCAGGCATCTCTCCTCTCCGACCCCGCCAGCCCTTCACCTGGACTCCAAGCAGAGCAGGCACTGGGAAGAAGGGGTCTGGTGCAAGAGTCTCCTCCCCAACCCCCTGGGGCTATAACCTGGTAAGGGCCCAGGTCAGGATCAGAGGGGTGTGGGGCACTCCCTGGGGGGAACAGGGCAGGGAGGAAATTCCCCAGGGGACAGGGTTGGGGGCTCACTCTGAAGCCGGGGATTGGGGGTCCTCTCCACGTACTGCACGGGCCTCGGCCCACTCTCACCGGCTGGGCCACCATCCAGCTGCTGTTGCACCTGCTGCCAGGCTGTGGGGGTGGGGCAGTCAGGCTGAGCCAGGTCTCTGGCACCCCGCCTCCCACCCTAGGGCCTGGCGGTCACCCTGGACTCTAGCCCAGCACAGGGAACGGGCAGTCTGCTCAATGGTCACAAGACAAAAGGGCATAGAGCCAAGGAGAAGCGCAGGCAGTCTCTGCTACTGGGAGTCGGGCTGCGGTGGGAGGAGTGCCTGGGCCACACCCTTCTGGGCCCCCTCACTACCTTCGGACACAAAGCGGACGTTCTCCTCGTGGGCCAGCGTGTAGGTCTCCTGGGTCCCCTCGAGAGATGGGGATGTGGCAGGGGGCCGCCGGCCATTCACACGGTTGAACACGAGCCTTGGCCCGGAACTGCAGGAGCGGGAGAAGGACGTGGTCAGCGCCCATCCCAGGCCTGGGTGCTGCCTGGCACAACTCAGGAGCAGCCCTGGGCCACGACCACCATCCCCAGAGCAGGCCGGCCAAGGCACTTCCTGAACCAGAGCGGCTACCTGCAGCGGCTGGTGGCCCAGGCCTCTCTCCTGCAGGCCCCGAGCCACCAGCAGCGCAGCTCACACCTGCTGCCCTCAGCCCCCAGGGAGGTGAGTGACGGTTGGGCAGGGGGTCCACCAAGTGCCCCTCCGAGGATCATAACTGGTGCCCGTACTGCCATCTGCCTCCTGCACCCCTGGCGCGGACTGACCAGACCTCCAGCAGCCCCGGCTCTGGCTTGAGCCGTGACCAGGTTTCTGTCCAACCCCACCCACTGGGCACAGTCCTTGGCCACGTCCTGGCCCCACAGAAGCTTCTCCACCCAATGATGCCCCCCCCATGGAAGACCAGACCCAAACAAGAACAGGGCAGCCTTTGCCCCTCCCTCTCCCCAGCTGCCCCCAGGTCCCTGGGGTGATCACCAAGTACCAGGATGGGCAGTCCCTGAGTGGTAAGAGTGTAGCTGCAACCCCAGCCCACTCCCCACAGGCCCAAGACAGGGGCAATGCAGAATGAGATGGCCCCCCCATGGCATTGCACGCGATGTCCGGGGGGCCACTGGGCCTGTCTCTGCCAGGTGGGCCCAGGGCAGGGATGGGTCACCCCAGCCGGCGGCAGCTGGCCAAACCCTGCACACAGGAAGCCTGGGACGGGGGGCCGTGGAGGAAATGGGGCCCGCACCTACAGCAGGAGGTGGGAGCCGGGAGTCCTGGGCTGCGCCTGCCACTCCGCCAGGCACTCGCGGTCCCGGCCGGCCTGCTCGCCTTCCTGGGCTCAGGTGCCCCACCGCCGCTCTGGGTTCCTCCTCAGGTGAGAGGGGCACTAAAACAAAGAGGAGTGTCTTGAGGGGCGCAGGGTCCCGCCAGCCCCAGGGCCGGCAGGGTCTGGTGGCCGCAGAGAATCTTAACTGTGCAGGTGGAGGTGGGGGGGCAGGGGCTCCTCCCAGACCTGTGCTCTTCCTGCGTTTCCCCACAAACCAGAGCGAATAAGGAGGGTTTGTCCACTCGGAAAGCCCCCTTGCCTGCAACCACTCCCGCCCTGGAAGGGTGAAAACTCTCCAAAAAAGAGTGCCGCTGGGTATCAACATTAAAAAAGAGAAGGAATTGTAGGGCCAGAGGTGGTGGCCTCAGGGCTGAGATGGGGCCCCACCCACCATGCCCAAGAAGGTGTGGTTACATAAGGCAGCTGCTCTCTGGGGGAAAGGGCACCAGCTCCAGCGTGCGCCTGTGGACGGCGGCCAACCTGTACCCACTCTCAGGAACAGTGTCCACGGGTAGCCCCAGCCCACGGTGCCCGACACGGGCGTCCTCTCCTCTCACCCCTCCACCACCCGCCCGTCCAGCCCAGGAACTGGGGCTGGGAGGGAAGTGCTGTGACTGCCTGGTGGCAGCAGCAGGTCTAACAGCAGTCCTGATGGCAAAGCTCCGGCCCCAGCCAGCCTCCTGGACCTGTCCTTGCCGAGCCACAGGCCACGCCCCCTTCTCCCACGTGGACTCAGCCCAGGGTTCCTTCCTAGGGCGGTCCCTGCGCACCCAGCCCGCCCTTGGGGTCAGGTGATCACAGGGCCCCATTTTTATCTTCCATTTGACAGTGGACATTGTCTCAGTTCATCTTACTGTCCCACCACCACCAGGAGGGAGAACTTGGAGAAAAAAGTGGGGTATTACAGAGAGTGGCCCCCCAGGAATGTGCAAGGCAGGGCTGTGGGCACCACAGCTGCCAGAAGCCCCTAGCCCAGGGCTTGGGAAGGGGCCTCAGGAAGCAGGAGGAGGGTCGGCCCCCATGAGCCCCTCTGGCACACGCTCTGCCCTGCCCAGGGCTTCTGCACCCAGCGGGACAGGGAAGTCAAGCCCCCTCGGACTCCTGCCTGTCCCACCTGGCTGGCTGAGGCAGACTTTAGACACCCACACCAGGTTTGGCCTCCTGGGGGCTTTACAGGCTCCGGTGAGAACACTGAGACCCCTGCCCACTGAGGGCTCCTCTGGGGAGCACCCCTCGTCTCCCCGGACACACCCCCCGACCCTGCCACAGCCTTGCCCTTGCCCTCCCCGGCAGTGGGGCCTTGGGGTGGAAGGTGTGTCTCCCCAGGTGGGAGGGTGCTTCCTGCCTGGGTGGCCGTGTCTGGTAAGCACCTGTGGCTCGGTTTCCTCCCCTGGGAGTCAGGGTGGCCGTGAGCACCAAAGCTGATGCGAGCAGAGTGCCCAGCACAGCCTGGGTGCCAGGGAGCACTCAGGCCTCCCTCCCCTCCCTCCCCAGGGTGCACCTGTGGCCTAGGACGCTTCCTTCACTGGGATCCTGTCCAAGCATCGATGAGCCCCACCAGCAGGAAGCCCCCCACCTCCCGGAGGGGGAAGGCTGAGGGTGACCCAGCCACACACACCCCACCTTAGCTACTCTGAACTCCTGGCCACCCTGGGAGGGTGTTCATGCTCAGCGTGTAAAGCCCCCACGCCAGGTGGCACTCTCCAACGGAATCCCACCCCAAGCATGGCCACCAAGACTCATGTGCCCCCCCCCCCCCAGTGCCGGAGCCCAGCTGCCCGAGGGCCTGTGTGGGGTTAGAGCAAAGTCTACAAGCCTGGGAAACACATAACATAAAGAAAAGATTAAGGAATGGCTGAGTTGAGGAAGTAGGAGGCTCGGCCCTGGGGCGGTGCGTAACCTCTAGTTTACGCTCACGAGGAGGTCAAAGTGGTCAGGACTGAGCCTCCCGTGGTCTCAGGAGGGCACTTGGGCAGACCTGCTGCTGGGGAAAGTCAGAAGCCCCAGGCCCGGACGAGAGAGCGTCTGTCCGCTGGGGAGGAGGAGCTCAGCGCCCCGGGAAGTGCGGGCGGGAGGCGGGAGGGCGGTGGCCTGGCAGGGCCAGAGGGAGACGCAGGCACCTCTCCC